ACTTCTGAATAACAATCAACCACTTGTACGCCCATTTATGATCTCTAAACTGCATATCTTGTTTACAAGACGGAGTTAACTACTGACCTATATTTAAAAACCAAAGAAATTCATAAACTACCTTTATCAGTCCAATATGTGGAAAATTTTCAAAAACTAAACTAGAGTTTTCCAGGGACTTGTAGATGCGGGCTGCAGTGATGGTGTTAGGTCCCATTCCATCCCCAACAAACAACAAGACATTCTTCGCAACCCCTTCATTCCGTTGGGTTTTCAGCGCTTCGTCAAGTTCCCTCTGGCCTTTTTGGAACCAAAACTCTTGGTCTGGAACAAGTTTCTCAAATTATAAACACACTTCTGAAGTGTACTAAGCCTAACGTTGATATAGATATTATAACAGGTTGTTTTCCTTTTGTACATAGTTTTGGATTATCTGATTATATAAAAAGAGGGCAAACTGCACTTGTGGCAAGGAATAAGCTCAAAATTGTGGAAAAGTATTTTTCATAAATCTTTGCTGTAGCAACCCAATTTTAAATTATTTAAACGATTACAGTTTTTAGGGGTAGTTTTTCAAAATAATAATGCTAATGTGTTCCAAAGAGTTATTGTACATAAATGCAGATAAGATAAATTATAAATCAGAGTGGAACATTACCTAACCCCTGTGAAGTTCCTCAGGGCTCCATTCTTGGCCCTTGATTATTTATTATATGGTGTTAATGATCTATGCAATGCTACTAAGATGTCCACCTTTTAAAAAGCTCCTAAGGCTACGGCCACACAGGTGTTTTTTCACGCAAGAACGCAGCATGAAAAAACGCAAGAAATATGAGCAGCATTAAATGAAATGAGGTATGCCACACCCAGTGTGTTTTCCCGCAGTAGCGGGCGCCTATTTGTTTCAATGCTACTCTAATTTTTCGCGTGTTTTCACGCTGCGTTTGTGTGTGAAAAAAACGCCCGTGTGGCCGCAGCCTAAATGTGTACAGGTCAAAACAATCAGTTCATACAATAGGTCTACTTGAATTTTTACAGATGTTTATGTCATTAATTGTTGTGTTTTTTAATTGTTATTAATTGCTCAAGAAGAAGAGACAGTGAAGGACTCATAAAACTGCATGCTACTGATTCAAACTGGCAAAACTGTATAGTATAAGAAACAATATTTTTAGTGCATTTGTGGTTTTGCACTTTGAAACCTTTGAACCTGTATTGGTAATTCATTGGTCGAAAAAAAAGAAAAAAACTGGAATTGATTTCTAAAAAATTGTGTTCATAGAGATTTTTGAGAAGTAGGTAACAACAATACCAAAAAAATATAATTCAAATAAATTGTCGTTGTATGCAACATAATGTAATGAAGAAAATGAAAATTAAATGGTTATTGTTATTTACACAATCTTGCTAGAAATGAAATAAATATAGAACAAAAAAGTGAACATAATAAAAATGCACCTTTTTAACTAACACATTAAAATATATACAGAGAGTATCTAGTAAAACTTGCCATATTTAATACTAGGTACAATTTATATTCTAATCTAAATTAAGGCAGATAAGGAACAGAACCAACATAAATGTTCATTAAGATGGTTCCTGTTGTGTGGATAGCTCAGACTACATAACTTATCAATATCATCACTAAGCACGCAAGGTCAAAGTCGACAACACAAACTGTAAAAGAACTAAAGTAACTCACCTTCAATAGTTGTAACTATGCAGACGAGTTGAGCTACTAAACTCAGAGCGAGCTGGTGTCGCATTCTACCTACACCAATACGACGCACAATGAATCGCTCTCGTACGCACAGTCAAGCCGACAAAGAATAACTGTTACTAACTTAACTGTTTCTAAACAGCTGACTTGCCAAAGCCACCGGAAACTGGCCTCAACCTCAACTCAGCTATTTCCTTTGAATCCCCCTCCCGCCATTTTGTGTCACCGTACCCAAAATCCCGACCGAAACCCCCCCCCCCCCCGTTCCCGTTCCCGAATCCCGACTCCAGTCCAGACTGGAGTCCAGTCAACTAACCTCAAAAATTTAAATTACCGGCTTGCCCGCACGTAATTGACTATTACGTAACTGTCACGCAGCACGTTTCCTTTTTGTTGGGTGTTTTATGCAACTTCATTACTGTATCAGTTTAGTAGTAGCTTCAAAACTAGATTGACGGTGGAAAACTTATTTGAAAAAACTAAATACCGTACCAAACAGTTAGGTCCCTTCAAAAGTAACAATATTTTCCCCAGGGAAGTCACAATACACGTGTTAACTTAGTTAACATTTTTTCATAAGTCAACCAACGACCACTATTCAAAAACGAGGATTCGATATATTTTTTCTATTTCAGTAATAAGTTGGTTTAATTTTTTAATTCAGTTTTTGCAAAGACTGGTGTATGACAATTTTGGCAGCTCTTGTATTTTATCGATTGTAACTGAAAAGTTGCAAGTTGCAAGGAGTTACGGTTAGTTCAATATAAGTTATTTCTAGTAAATTTCTGACTCATCATTCCCTGAATGTGCAGACCAAGCATCAAGTCTGAATCAACTAAATGTTTTAAGTACTGACTAGTGACTAATGACGTGTCTTAACATTATATAACGATTGCAGAATACCAAAATATTGGGAATCAAAAAAGTCCTTAATTTCACTATGTTATTTTAATATATTCCGATAGAACTATACTAGATAGTCTTGTTTAAAAAAAATACTGAATTTTTATACTTTCAAATTTCAATGTGTTATTTTGGCTTTTCCATGCTCTAGTTTTACGTACAAATTCTTTTATCAATCAAAATCTATTGTAACAAGATACGGTACTTATTTGAAATAAATGTAACTGTATATAGTATACTGTGGTTATAAAATTGATATTTAGGTACCGGTAACAATTTATTTTTTTAAAAGGATCGTTCGATTTTTTTGTAAGCCAACTTGTTTTACTTTTTGGAAAATAATAAAATTTATTATATTCCAAAACAGTTTCGGTTATTAATCCCAGTAGAAGCATAAGAATAACTTAATTGTGTTTTTAAAATGTTTAGGTAATATCTTCTTAGTTACTAAAATTTACAACATGTTATTAACACAATATTGCAGTATCAATTTTTATTTAAAAATATCATAGTTCTGAGAGCCAGACACAGAATGCGCTAGTGTCACAAATTCTATTTGTTGCCTTATTTTTTGTTGCTGATTAAGTTCATGAGTAAATATAGACCGTCAGCTGCACTACGGTTACCATAGGTTCTGGCACACACAGCTGGGAGCGCCATGTAGTTACGGCGTGGTGTAGGCGCTACGTAAGCACCGTGGCACCTAGACGGGAGCATGCACGACAACCACTGGGTAAACACCTGTACGACAACACTAAAGATAAATGTCTTTTGGCAGTGTGGCACTTGTTGATGTGTCACCTAGGTGCACACCCAAAACCACACTTTACTTAGTGTGGTCTTGGCAACCCCTTCGTATACACATGTAAGGAGGTGATGGGGTGTCGTTGTCGAAGTGGAACGTTGTCGGGGTGGCATTTTGTCAGGAGCAAGCTCGCCATTTCATTAAATGGTCCTATCTACCATTAAAAACAATATTTGACAGTAAAACGGTAAAACACTCTTCTAAATGAAATGCATAGATTCTACATTTATGTTGAATTATTCTTTTGGAGTTACGCAACATTGCAAGTCGCCCTACCTAAATTTATCGTTAGTGTAATGCTCTTTATTACTGTACATTCTAGATAGGTTTCGTTTTATTTATAAATCTAAAAGAGACATTAATGCCACTGTCTTAGTGTCCGCGCACTTTGGAATTCCAAATAATGGAAGCCAATTTTTTGAGAACAGAATATGACTTCTCGAAATTGTGACGGTTTGGGGAAATATTTGCCACGATATTAAACAGCCTTTTTCTTTTTGCGTGGTAAATTTTTCGTGTATTGGATCTTGAATCATTGAAATAGTTATTTGTGTAACTAGTGGGTGAAGTGTCACTTTGCTGCACACGATAAATGTTCACGCAAGAGAGCTGTTTTGTATGCCAGAATTATGCTATAAGCAGTATGGTAACCTAATCGAGATCCATGAGTATTTTACAGATTTAATCAAAAATATTTATGCTTGATAATCCATTTTATTAAAGTTTTAAACTGCGTTTTGTTTGAACACTGAGTTACAACTGCACTGATAGCTCTGAATAAGAGCATTGAGATACGTTGGCCGCCTTGTAATATGATTATTTTATGTATTAGGGTTGAACGGTTAACCATTGAGTATTGGATACGGTTTGTCAAAGGTTAATCTAACCAACACAAGTAGACTTATCCCATTATTATAAATTTTGAAGCTCGTTTTTCGTGTCTAGTTGATGTCCGGTAACGATCGCTATAGTGGCGACGAAATTCAATATCTATTATTTTAGGGGTAATTTCATTTTTTGTGCTTTACTGTTTAGTTAAATGACTAGGGGACGAGTAATTGTTTATGATTAACAAGATCGTTTTATTTGGTTAAACAAGGTTTTCAATGACTGAGAAACAAATTGTAAATAAAACATGACCTCTACTAGTGCACCGGACAGAACTAACAATAGCATTGATCCCCAGATGATCCATAAGGATGAGAAATCTACTGAGGGAGTGTGTTTTGTGTTTTACCGTATCTATGATTGTAATTAGTACATTATAACTATAAGAACAGGGGTTGTAATTAAGCCTCCAATGAGCTGCTTGATTCCCCTAGTTGGTACCATCCAAAAATGTACAGCATGTTATCTAGCAGAGCTGCCATGACGGTGACAGTGCAACCGCAACCTCATCCACTTGTATTTTAAGTTTGGTGGTGTTGAATTACGTATGTGATCCATGCGTTATGGTTGACTGGCAGAGTGGCAGAGGCAAGGTTGGTAAGACTGACAAGTTGAGTGGAGGGAGTTTGCTTGTTTTTGCAAATTTGATACCCCCTCCCTCCACTCAGAGTGCGCAGCCGCAGGGCGCGCAGACTGGTCGTGAAAGTTCGCGTTCCTTGAAAGAGTTTTCGTTCACGTCAGACTTGTTTATTCCAACAGAGACAGCTGGAATGACGCTGTATTCCTCACTCATTTTGATTTAAACTCGCACCTCTTAACTGATAACAGAAAATGTAATAAACGCTTAAGAATTCAAAGATTTATTAACCACCTTAATCCACTGTGGGTGCTTGCTTACTCCATTGAGTAGTCCTCAAAATGGCGTTGTGTACAGATTCCAAGGCCCCACTGAGGTCTGTCAAGCGAGTTCAGTTCGGAATTTTGTCTCCAGATGAAATTGTAAGTACAATTCTACTGAAGATTGTAAGGCTTATGCTTTGAATCCTTTTCTCATGTCAGTAAACTACACAACGTTTGACACAAAGGACGGCTGTGATGCAATAAGTTACAGACCTCGGGCTAGGCCTGTTAAAAACTTGTTGACTCTGCATAAAGTCTTGCACCATTGATTTCAGGGAAAAAATCCAGTTTCTGGTGTTGTGTGAATTACCATTGATTCCCATGGTCACCTAAAAATGCTTAATTACCGAGCCCTATTGATTTTCTGCTGTGGTTCATTCCAAGAAGAGGGCCAACCACTAAGTTTAAATTTTATAGTGCTCCATAATAAATAAGAATAAGGCCACACAAAGTTACAATTTTGTAAATATGTAGGCTATCTTTGACACGTTGGCAGGCCTAACGGTATTTAAGTTTAACTTAAGTCGACCTCCAGATAACGCTCTAAAAAATATTTTTTTAGGCTAGGCCTAGGCCTAGTCAGTTTGTTTTTTAGCGCCGATTCCAAAAATGATAGTAATTGTTTGCGGAAAAACACCCACTCCCGAAATAGCGGAAAACGGAAAAACACCTTTTTGCGTACCTACAAGTCATGCTGGTGGTAGGCCTACTGAAATTTTGTGGAATTCAACGACGAATTAATTAATCGTAGCAGTGGCCAATGATCATAAGTTATAATCTGTGATGGTAGGCCTACTTTCCTGTTATCTGGTACCTGCGAAAAAATTCTTTCCTGTTATCTGGTACCTGGTTGTACTTTGGTTAGGTTAGGTTAGACTAGTTTATCAGTAACATGAGTACCGGTATTGTAAGTAAACGAACCTAACCTAACCTAACCTAAACGGTAGTATGTGCTCCGGACTCTGGATCGACGAAGTTACGTATTTGTGGTTAAAGAATATTTTCACAGGTACCAGATAACAGGAAAGTACAGTTCGTGACATCTAAGCTGGCACTTGGCCGGTCGCTACTAGTACCTATCTCAAAAACATTATGTTCCATCATGCGGGTTGCATCAACTGTCCTCGTGACCCATCTGAAGGCGCTTAAGTAAATAACACAAGAGGAGTCAACCCCGTGAGACAGCGGACATGTTTGCAGTCCGGTCTTTTCCCTACCTCCACCCTCCTCCCGCCAACACTGCCCGTGCTAGGCCAAGTGCCAGCTTAGGTGTCACGAGCTGTACCTACGTGATCAGTTGCTGTGATGTCTAGAATGGCCACCATCGTAATGCGATAGTAGGCCCTAGGCCTATGGGCCAAAATATTTTTAATGGTAAAAAACCACTTAGGCCTACTGTATATAAACAACTCAGATTTTGAACAATATATAACTTAGGTAGGCCCATACCATTCGAAAGATCACATTCTGAACTTTCATTTTCCCTAAACAAACCATGTACAGTAGCATATACGTTTAATGTCACGACGATTAGAAATCAAATGAATTTTTGGAGCGGCACGACTTTTGCAGCTGACACTTGGGAACTGTCAAAACTCAACTTGTTTGGTATTACCCTGTTTGGGTAATTTTAGTCTTGGGATGTTGCGTGTGGTACCACTGGATAGCCTTCGAGATTATATTTTCATAGTGGTATTGATTTTTATAACAAAATGTTGATTGGACGACAGTTACGATTTTATGAAAACAGCTGTTTTCGGAAATTATAACAAATGGCCAACCATCGCAATACCTACGATAGTACGAAAAAAAAAATGAATTCGATACAGTGTAAGTTATTATTACTAGTCATATAATATGTCATTTTGAAGAGAAAGGAAATAACGCTTTTGAGAGTGACAGCCTTTTGCTCATGGTTATTTCCTTTTGCTCTCAGGAAGACGACGAAAGTGTGTCAATACTGTCAAGGTCTCATACACAATGTGACTTGTATCCGCCACTGCGTGTTGTCGGCGAGTCATTGCTCTCGTGCTGTCCGTGTGTGCCGTCTGTGTGTGTCGTGATTTATTACTAAATTTGTTATTATTTCATAGTGTTAGAGAAATGTGTACGTGTATATAACAGAATCTTCTTGCATTTTATTGTGCATGAATATTTCTAAATAGTGTGAAATAGTGTTTTTAAAAGGTTGTATTTTTCTTGCGGTTTCCATTTATTATATTATTATGCCCCTAAGGCGTACAACGAAAATTGTTAGCCTACCCCAAACGTGTTATACATTTTATGTAGGTAATTGAAAACACTACAAGATGATTATGTTGGTTTTGAAGTAAAAAAAATTAGTAGCCTACAAATGTTTTACTAAATATCCTACTATAAATTTTTTCTCTCACAAAAATTTGCTAAAATATAAAAACATTGGCTAAGGCCTATTTTATTTACAAAATATTTATAGCCTAAATAAAATAATATTTTTATCATAGAAGCTTTACTTATGACTTTTTTGGATTCCTTACTTCATTAGCTTTACAAACATGTTAAATATCATTATTATAACTTTTTTACAACACAAACTATATAAAAAAATTATATAGTTATATACCTAATTATTAAATATTATTTAATAATTATTTACACAGTGTTTTTTTTATAACACTGTCTATGGTTTTCAATTTTTTGTTCTCCGTTTGTTATTAGCCTATCTAGGCTTACCTACGCCCATAAAAACTTACAAAAGTTTTCCTAACGTGTTTTATATTTCTATAGGCTAGGGAATTATTGTCTACAAAATGTGTAAAATGAATTTCCCATACAAAATTTTAGAAAAATTTATACCCAGACTGCTTTTGAAATTTCAAAAAAAATTCTAATTTCTTTTTATTCTTTTCACTTTACTGAAAGATTACACCCCCTAAATCATTATTACATTACAATTAATAGAATCTCCTGTTCTTTCCGGGAACAAAAGAACATGAGGTTGGCTAGTTTTACTTCTACCTACGGTTAAATATTTACGAATTTTCAAAAAAACGGTGGCTGTAAAATTGTCAAAACGGTTGGCCATTCCATGCATCTAAAATTGGCCACTGCTAGGGTTAAACAGTGTATTTTTTATTAGGTAGGTAGCTTACGATCCAACATCTAAAAACCTCGCAAAACTCGCCAACTGTTTGTAACACTCAATGAAAAAAAAAACACTTTTTTGCCCAAAAGTCATGTTTTGAGTTAGGTACCGTACTCAAACTGTGCGGAATTTCATGATGAATTCAACTGTGGATTTTCCATTACGATCCAATAACCTCGCAAAAGCCTGCAAAATGTAAGGTTAGGAATGTCCCAAATCAAAGAGGAACTGTAGTGAATTCCCTGAATCATGATTTTTATTACTCCCTAACAACATTGTTTGGGGATGATGTATTTTAAAATTGTAAATTGATTGTAGGATATTTATTTTTTTATGCCTAGTATTTTCGGAGTAACAGCATAAGTTAGACATGCTAATAATTTAACATTGAAGAGAAGACATTCTTCTAAAATCCTTAAGGGTTTTATTTCAAACTACTCACTCTTACTTTAACTCTCATGGCCATTGATATCCTAGAAGGGTTTTTGCCTCGCCAACAATTGCTCATCATCTTGCTTGCCGGTCGTATGCCTTATCTAAGTAGATGAGGCATACACTACATCTCATAAGCTATAAGTTGTGCATGCTTATTTTGTTGATTAAAATATCTGTATTTTAACTGCATAACTTATTTTCTATATTTTAACTTACCACTGCACGAGACTAAAACTGAACAATACTTTAAACAGTAGGCCTACCTACATGAACTGTGTGTTTAAGGGAGTGACTTGTCGCCTAGTGTGTCCAGTGTCGTAAGATAACACGGGGAGCATATTTGTCAGCGGGACTGAAAATCCGATCGTCCTGGTTTATTATTCTGTCGGCGGTGGTTGCGGATTGCTTAGCGTGGCCGTCTCCATATAATTAATGTTACACACTTCCATTCTTTGTTGAAGTTGCCATGTGTGGCCGTAGCCTTAAGGCTAACGATTTTAGGCTAAACTTTGATTCCTGTCCATACCCTGTTTACAAACCATATCAAACGAAAAACCATGAAGTTTCTATCCTGTTATATTAATCTAAGTTAAAACAATTTTCTACTTTCAACATCAAAACTTAAATTAGGTTGGCCTATTGTAGGCCTATGTTATATGTTTTTATTCATAGAATAAGCATCCATTTCTTGAATATGTTGCTCAAAATTTTTTATTTTAGCGAATTTCCCATATAGGAAAAAAGCTACACCACTTTAGGTTTCATGCTAAGACTTCGACCCGGGACTGATTTACTTTTTTGTTTTGAGGTCCCCAGAGGTCAAAAACACCATATAAGTTATATGTTCAAATTCATATAAATAGCCTAAGTTATACGTGTCTATAAGCTCGATGACTTGAATACCTAAAGATGATCTGGTTTCAATGAAATTTAGTACAAACTTGTAACCCTTCGTTTATTCAAACGAGTTCGCTAACCAGCATGATCGGACTATGGGAAGCGATCAGATAAATGAAAATTTGCTTAGTCTGCAAGTTAGCTGCAGCGAGGGTGTTTAACTTATACACTTGTCAAATGTTTCATAGGCTATTCATTTAGAAATGTTAGACCTATACAGGGTGTTAAATGTGGCCTAGAAACAAATTATTTTCCCTCAACAATTTTTGGTGGCTAACTTAAGTTATTTATTTATTTATTTCTCTCACTGGTTTACACCAGTTTACAAAATATGAATAGGCCTACAATGTTGTAGGATGGCAAAATTCATGCAACAGTGAAAGTGGTACAGTATATAAGTAGTACAGTAAAGTGGTAACAGCAAGAACATAATAGAATGAATAACAAGTAATAAGTAAATAGATACTATATAAATAAACAATCATGAATAACAATAAGAATAAAAATAACAAAAATAACAAAAGCGACAAGGAGTAACGATAACAATAGAAAGTGAAAGAAAGTTATGGATAAGTAATGCAACATGGTAAACAATTGAATTTAACAATAACATAGCAATGAAGCGGTAATACTTGTCAACAACAACAGGAATGATTAATTATGACTAGAGCTAGAGAAGGTAAGATACTACATTAGTGACCAGAATTATTAAATATTACTTAAGCAGGGAGGCGACCTTTCTCCGGAACGAGGACAATGAGTCATGAAAGAAGTCCAGGTGGATTGCGACATTACTCCCAGTACGTAGAAGTCTCAATTGGCCACTGTTTGATGCATAGTAGGTGGTTTAGTAGCGTCTACAGAATATCGTTTTGGAACGGGTTCTTGTCGGTATATGCAAGTGGATGCCGCAGAGTAGATCCGGACAGTCCAGTAAGCCATTTACCAACTTGAAAAGTGTCAGTAGGTCTGAGTGTTGCCGCCTCACATCAGAGGCCAAACAGGGATTCAACCTCACTCACAGGAGTACGTAGGTTTCAAACCCAAGCCTGCATCCAAGAAGTATAAAAAGTCTAAAGTCTAGTAAGTTATTTACTAGTACACAACCTCCTGCATTTTACCAAAATATCCATGAAGAATGATTAAAATGTTTCTTTAAACTAGCAAACTACAACCGATAACTAGAGCGCCACTCATCCTCTACACTCATATCTCATATCTCCATTCATACTTGGCTTAACCCTCCGAGTGTCACGCGTCATAAAAATGACGCACAACACACTTTGTGTAGGGTCACGCGTCACTTTTATGACGCACAAACATCGTTTACGGCGAAGGCTCTATGACTGACTGAATCGGATTGAACTGGATCGAGTTAGGTATCGTTCTTTCCGTAATATTCTAAGCTTTCTCCAGAGGTCTGTCTCTAAGCGCTATTCATTTTAGTTCCGAAAATATTGTAGCAGACAGCTGACGTGCGTGTATTTGTAAACAGCTAGGTTCCCCCGGACCGATGACTGATGTGTTTTATTACGTTTATCATTGTTTTAGTGTTAAAAATCAAAAGTAGTGATATACGTGGTGCATTTTAAGAAGATTTAAGTGGTTTTGAAGTGCTGGTTGATGATCCTGAAGAAGTAGGTAGTGATATTGATGTAAATTATCAGCCAGATTCCTAGCTATGGTTAGGCTATGCATTCTTAGCTAAACGCTATGTACTGAAATCCGTTTTTCGCTCATAACTTATTTATTTGATAACTTACCTCGCTATATGATTATATATTTGTAATCCTCATTAAATTTAGAACAAAGTGGCTATTTTCAAATATTTATAGGCCTATAATTTATACAATTTCATTGAGCGCACACTTATTTTTTTTTGAAAATTTTCGAAATTATATTTTTTTTTACCTAAAAATTTTTTTTTTGAAAAAATGTTCCTTATGTTTTATATATAATATTGAAGCCCATGATTTTCCAAACAAAATGGTATATAGAACATTAGAATTGACATTGTTTTAAGCTTCTCAGATCCGTTTTAATAAAACCTTGCAAAGGGGCCAAAAATAGGTGGACATTAAGGCCTAAACTATGGACACTCGGAGGGTTAAAATACCTACTTTGTATGGTCACCCTTTCATTGAAAAGTATTAAAGTATTAGTTTTTTAAAGTAGCCCATTTAACTTAAGTCTGATTTTAATTATCTCTATTGATCGTACAACAACGCTTCAGCATTCAAAATTATTTTTGCTTTTTAAAGCTCTAATAATGGTTTGAAAAGATATTGTAAAATATTATATTTTGCGTTAAAATGGGGAAATAACACTCCTTTCTCTTAGTCTGATCATGCTGGTTCATGAACTCGTTTGTATAAACATATGTTTAGGCATAAACATTTGTATCAAGATTTGTCAAAATCGAATTATTTTTACTTGAGTTATTGTGCTAACGAACACACATTTATTCAATTCAATTCAATTCAAATTATCTTTATTCATCAAGTACATTAGAAATATATACATGAATAGTGTCACATTTCTTATAAGTTATAATAAAACATACATGCTTATAGTAAATGGGAAAAATTGTAAAAGAACATAAAACTAACAGTTAAAACATACTTTGACAGGGTGTCTACCAAGACTATGTCCTTAAATTTTTATTGGGTCATAATTTTATTGATCGCTAGTTGGTTAGGAGCACATAAAAGGTTTATCAGATGTTTGTTTACATTTTCATAATTTATTACTAGAGTAATTATGCAATAAAAATCCCATTAGCAATCTCAAACCATTAATATTTTATCACTACAATCAAGTGTCAAGTCAAGTACTTCCAAGAACTGTTGACTCAGCAGCTAGCTCATAAAAGTTGTATCAGTATCACTTTTATTCCTTTACAACTTCTTTATTTATTATTAGGGTAGTTATTATTAGACCGCAAACCTATTTTATCATGAAAATAATAAGTAGTTTTATAATGGCTGTTAAATTTCACTTCTTACTTATACTTTTGTCTTGAAGATTCAATTTGCCGTGGCCATTGCCTAGTGCCATCATAAAACTGTTTATGGTTTCATATTAAACATGTAAATAATCTACAGTCTTATTTTGTAAGTTAAACCCTTTTTTATAGATATTTTATCTTTCAATTGACAAAACCACAAGCATTGTTGTTTGCATTAATGTTTTATCGCTATGTAGGCCTACTTGGTTTCAAATTATGTCATTGCATTTTCTGTATCTTTGTCTTATATTGTTGGCTATTCAGGTTTCAATGTTTTTTGTTTCCCATATTTATTTATTGAGTTGTATGCTTTAAGCAATATAAATCTTATGAACTAGAATGATGATAGTGACTTTGCTGCTATTATAACCTCATTGTTACTCAGTTTAAAAATATAGGCCCTCCTAAATAATTAGGTCTAGGCCTGGGTATTTTGATTCTTGAAAGAGCTGTAAAATATATTAAGAAAATGTAATTGAACCTAAGATAAACAACTAATGATTGTAATGTGTCGATATTAACTTTTCAAATGAAAATATAATAATCTTACTCTGTGCTTATTGGTAGCCGCTTACCATAGGCTACCTTGATTTTGTACTAAGAACTGACTAACAATATGCATTAAAGATTTTTTTTTCAAAAGTAGTCGAGAACCTAACATTGTGCCAGGTCATGCCAAATTAATCCGCCTGGATCGGATAAGCTATGTTATTATGTTTCTGTGACCGATGGAGATATTTGTCGCTATCGCAGGAGACAATGATTGCGTTTCTCTGTTACACTATAAAAGCTTTACCTAAAGTATAGGTAAGTTAGGCCTATGTTTGTTTACTTTCAATAAATTTATATTTTGAAATTTAACTCTTATCTATTATTATTTACTTTTCACTCTGGTACAACTACAGTGAATAACAAGATTAATACAGTTTGACAAATCAGGAAAATTATTCGGTAATGACACCGACAAAGGTTACGGCAAAGTGTCCTTAAATGTACGGGAATTGTCCATGAATTTTTTTATCCAGAATGTAGTAGACACCCTGTTTGATTAGTAGGGAAAGAAAAGTCAATTAAAGTTCATCAAATGAATAAATAGCCCTGCTAATGAGAAATTTCTTAAGTTTATTTTTAAATTTTTATGTGTTATGTGATTTTGAACAGATTTTGGTATGTTTGGGGCCTCAGGGGTCATCAAACAAGCCGAGAAAAAATTAGGTCTAGGTCTTAGCATGAGACCAACGGTAATAGCTTATATCTTAGTGTGTATACCATTTATACATGCATAATTATATTGATTTTTTCTGTATTTTTAGCGTCGAATGTCTGTTACTGAAGGGGGCATCCGCTTTCCCGAAACAATGGAGGGTGGACGTCCCAAACTCGGGGGGCTGATGGATCCCAGACAAGGTGTCATTGACAGGATGTCTAGATGTCAGACTTGTGCTGGTAAGTAAATGGTCATATCATGTGTAGAAATATTTTGTTGCTAAAGAAATGTAGATTTGTTGGAATCTTTCAACACTAAAATTAATTATTTCCAACGTTCTTTTTTATAGGAAACATGACAGAATGCCCTGGACATTTTGGCCATATTGACCTAGCCAAACCTGTCTTCCATGTTGGTTTTGTAACAAAAACCATAAAGATTCTACGCTGTGTTTGCTTCTACTGCTCAAAGCTGTTGGTTAGCCCAGTAAGTATGCTGAATATTCGACCAACCTAACTCTACACAACCTAATTAGCCCAACACTACTATAAATCCAATGATTCAGATTGGAACTGTGCTAATACTACTACTATTATACTTTATAGGCCTATAGGTACTAATATTATGCACATGCATATTAGGCTAGTACTCTTCCCCACCACCATTGCTTTTGTTGTTACGAACAGGCATCTAAAAGAACCGTTAGAACCTATTTTACATTATACGTAGGGGATTCTTATTTAGAGAAGAGTAGTGGGGCAAGTTTTTGGTTCCCTTCCATTGCCCTCCCTACTCACCGTCCTTAAATAATACAAAACATACACATCCATTTAAAATGGCATCCGATTATGTTTGTCTCTAACCTAGGCTACCTCAAAGAAGCATCATAATGGCTGGTAAAATGCTTAATATTGGCTCCCATCAGTGTCAATTAAACAACTTAGCTTGATAACAGCCTTACCAATAAATATTTTCCTGCAGGACTTAATTTTCATTTGTCTCATTTTATTTGTCTGTGGTTACTGCTAAATAACCTATCTTCACTTTTGAAAGGTAATCAATCCTCTTTCAAAGAGTTTCTAAACATGCCGGGGTTACTCTTTTACCAACTAACTTTTTAGTGTCACTTCAAAACCTCTCACTGTTATCAAAATTCAAAAGAATACCTATAGGCCTAAGAAAGAATGCATAAATACATTGGGGTTTATAAAATATTTTTGTATAAATTTGATTGTCAAATTCTAGCACTAGTAATAATATTATGTCAAATGATTTATTTCAGAGCCATCCCAAAATCAAAGAAATCGTAATGAAGACTAAAGGACAACCGCGGAAACGACTAACTTTCGTCTATGACCTGTGTAAAGGAAAGAACATTTGTGAAGGAGGTGATGAAATGGACATTAACAAAGATAATCCGGACGACCCAAATAATCAGCAGGTAAATAAATAAAAAATAATGTAATGCATAACTAATATTTGCAGCTAAATAGTGATGTATTCTTTACATTTCTTGAGATTTACAATGATGTGAAACACAATTGAATCAACTTTCTCCAGTAAATGAGTGGATTAGTGGTTGGCTATGCTGTATATTTCAGATATACAAGAGTTGGGATTTATAATCTGTAAAAATTATCCACTAGCCAGATGCATTACAAATCAATTTCAGTTTTAGAGCTCCTAAAGAAGCCCTATTTGAAACACATAATAAGGCTACCTATATATACAAAAAAAGTTTGGTTGGTGGTATGTCAGTAATAACTGACTTATAAGTGTTTTTGATTCATTGTGAAAAATAAAATGTTTGGATTAAATTGCCTGCTTCTTACACATAAGACATACTATTTGGTTGATGTTTTGGTTTATATTTACCCTTCAATAGCATCAACGGTTCTTTAACTTAGCTCTCATATTTACAGCCGCGTAAGCAAGGCCACGGTGGCTGTGGTCGTTACCAGCCGAACCTTCGTCGTACTGGTCTGGACGTCACAGCCGAGTGGAAACACGCCAACGAAGACTCTCAGGAGAAGAAGATCTCTCTGAGTGCTGAGCGAGTGTGGGAGATATTGAAACACATTGTGGACGAGGAATGTTTCATCCTCGGTATGGACCCCAAGTTTGCCCGACCTGACTGGATGATAGTCACCGTTCTGCCAGTGCCTCCTCTAGCTGTGAGGCCTGCAGTTGTCATGTACGGATCTGCAAGAAATCAGGTTGGTGCCCTAAATGGTTTATTTTTTAATACAGTCTTTTTGTCATCCTTTTATTTTTAGGTTATTTTTTCCTAAAAATATTTGGCTAGAATAATGACTGAAAAATATTTAAGTTTCACACAAATAAAATTATATGGCAGATTTTAAATTGAAAACAGAGAACAAACTCTAATATCACAATTTATTGCCGTGGAAAATAAAAATGAAATAAAATGAAATTTAGCCCCAATGTTGTAAATGGGGATGTTTTTTTAATCGTTCACGATATCATATTATGTTACACCTCTACAAAAATGTGTATTCAAGCTTTAAAAAAAAAAAAAAACATGTAGCCTATTTAAGCTTTATTTTAATACATTCGATAATCAGGCAAAATTGTGTTTAAGATATGTAAAACTGTATAAAAATAAATCTCTATTGTAATTTTGTAACGGTTTACATCCAAGTCCTGTTTTTCTCAGTTTGTATTTCATATCTTGATCACATCTCATGTTAAAATATGGTATTCCAGGATGATTTGACTCACAAACTGTCAGATATCATAAAATGCAACAATGAGCTCCAAAGAAACGAGCAAGCTGGTGCAGCGACACATGTAATTGCGGAAAACATAAAAATGTTGCAGTTCCATGTGGCAACACTGGTCGACAACGACATGCCTGGTCTGCCGAGGTATGTGTTATAGTACAGTAGGCAATTAATATTCCGACATTATCAAGGCTTAGTAGGGTTTGAGTGATAAAAATAGCTGGTATTGTTGTAGCGAGAATATTGTTAGTTTGAATAGAGAGTCATAAAGGTCTAGAGAATGCTGTGAATGCTCATAAACCAGTGCTAGAAATGTTTATCAAGTTTAAAAACCAGTAGACCACATTTTATTATTGTCTGTGCATGATAATGGATGCTGATAATTAGATCAATTTGTTAATCAGGAAAAAAATGTGGTTCGGACTCCTAAATAAACTGTAGGTCCCTTAGTTGCCATTGGCTGTCTGGGCTCTTAATTAACAGCTGTGTCCAAGGAACATGTTGGCCTTAGTCACTAACTACAAGATCGCGCCACTCATCCTACACTCATCCTTCACTCATATTTGGTTTAGGTGACGTCCCCATCTTAAATAATTGATTGATTGGTTTTACTGTATGTAGGTTTCCTTATCTTAAAAAGTACAATTTAAAATTCAGTTAACTAATTTTCTTTATCTTTGTTTTCTAAGTACCATTATAGGCAGCCATACTTGGGCTCAAATATTAAAATTAGCTAAAATTTTGCCATGTGACTATAAGTTGCAGAGGCTGTTTGTTATGTATCACGGTACAGTAATTTCTTGCACATAAAATAAAAATTTGATTTAATAAGTAGGTAGGCCTATTAATTATGTACTATTTTGTATCAAATTACTCATTAGCCTCATTTGTAACTTAGGCTTAGGTCAAAAATTTATTAATTTAATAATATGTAAGACAATGGTGTTTTTAATGTTGCATTGTAGGATGCACAAATTAAAAAAATAATTATGTTACGGTTTTAATGTTTGTGTACAAGGTATATAGCATGTAGCTTGTGTTAAGAAAATAACCCAGAAAAAAATTATCTAATAAAATCTCGACGTATTTGTTTATTTGATATTTTTTAAGTCACTAATTTTAAACATTTTTTACAGAGCTATGCAAAAGTCAGGCAAACCTCTGAAAGCAATAAAGGCTCGCTTGAAGGGCAAGGAAGGTCGGATAAGAGGTAACTTGATGGGGAAACGAGTGGATTTCTCCGCTCGGACTGTCATCACTCCAGACCCTAACCTGCGAATTGACCAGGTCGGCGTCCCTCGCTCCATAGCACAGAACATGACATTTCCAGAGATAGTCACACCCTTCAACATTGACAAGTAAGAGATTTGCTTGTGTCAGCTTATGAATCCTTAAGAGCTTTTCTGTTCTTTGATAGTTTTTCTTCTGATTCTAAGATATCACTGGGCTAGACATAAATAGTAGCCTAAGTTATACAAATCTAAAACACCGTAATACTTTTTATTTGCTTGTACTTTGTGTGTAGCTTAAGTTGAACTTACTTGATCTGCTTTGTAAACTCATGATTTTTTATGAAGGTGGTAGATAGGCTAATACAAATTTAGATTCTTAGACGTGTTGGTTACATGGTAGTTCCATATCCAGTCCTACACAGTCCATTCTTGTGTATTGAATGGACGGCCCTTATGTTCCTCGCTCAGGTTTAAAGCCTTATGTTGGTGGGGAAATGCTAAGTTAAAAGAGGTCACCAACCCTCTTTGAAATTATACATGTAGTAGTGTTACAAATTAGAATATTAGGTGTGAGAAAGGATAGGATAAGCAGGCTTACCTTAAAAAATGTAGGCATCCCACTTCATTCACTACAGAACACAGAAGAAAACACAAACAAACAAAATAAACTAGTGATGGACGAGACTAGATTTTTCACTTCGAGACGAGACGAGACAAGATTTTTTTAATTCCCGCGGGACGAGATTTTTTTTCGGGACGAGATTTAATGAAAAGTTATAAAAAATTAATATCTACTTTTTAAGTTCAGATATATTTACAAGTTCTAAGAACTTGGCAAAAAATAGACAAAAATATCTTTTATTGAAAACATTGATAAAAACATCAGTAGCCTATATAAAAGAAACGAATAAGGCCTAACTTATTAAAAATAACTCTTCGGCATAGGAAACATGGAGATGTCAGTTGGTATAATATAGTTCAACTTTGCAAAATATAAAAAACAACAGTATTACTAGTTAAGTATCAAGTAACAATTTTAAGTCTTGTGTTATTAATAGAATGATTTTGGAGTAAATTATATGTTTACAGTAGTAAAACATGTCTCACACTGCTTACACTAACAAAACTTTTCATTTGCTATGCAAAAAAAAATATAAAATGATTGAAGCAATATTTCCTTGTAAAGAATAAATAATTAAATAAACGCCTTTGCAGTTTTTTTTTTTTAAATTTTTATTAAAAATTTTTTTTTTTTTATTTTAATTTTTTTGAAATTTTAAATAAAAGGTTGCAATGTACGTTTCACAAAAAACTTAGTTTTTTTAAAATTTTAAAAATATAAATTTTTTTAATTTTAATTTTTAAAATATATTTTTTTTAATTTAAAATTTTTAAAAATTTAAATTTTAAATTTCGAAATTTTTTATTTTAAATTAAAAGTTTGCAATTTACGTTTTGCAAAAAAACTTAGCAGTTAAAATTTTTTTTGATTTGAAATTGATCTTTTTTATTTAATTTTTTTAAATTTAAATTTAATAAAATTTTTAAAAATTTTAAATTTTAAATTTAAAGGTTTGCAAATTACGTTTAGCAAAAAAACTCAAATGTTTTAAATTAACAAAAAATTAAAATTTGTTTAAATTTAAAATTTCAAAAATATTTTAAAATTTTTGTTTTTAATTTTTAAATTTGTTTTTATTTTAATTTTTGTTAAATTTAAATTTTTTTAAATTTTAAATTAAAAGTTTGCAATTAACGTTTTGCTAAAAAACTTAGCAGTTTAAAAAATCTTTTTTGAATTAAAATTTTTTTTTTTTTTTTTTTTTTTTTTTTTTTAATCTCGTCTCGAAAATATCCCGTTAGCATTTTAATCCCGCCCGAAGCTTCGAGATAAAATAAATCTCGAAAAAATCTCGAAGTTTCGGGTCTTGTCCATCACTAAAATAAACACTGGATATTTCGAGGCCACTGGCCCCTTTCTCAACATGGAGAGTCACATTAGATATTAAGAGTCTTTCACTCACGCGTGAAAGACTCTTAATATCTAATGTGACTCTCCATGTTGAGAAAGGGGCCAGTGGCCTCGAAATATCCAGTGTTTATTTAATAATAATAATAATAATAATAAATCTTTATTTCTCCACAAGTAATACAATAAAATTACAAAGATCTATAAAAACAAATTATTTTACAATGTATTTTGTTTGTTTGTGTTTTCTTCTGTGTTCTGTAGTGAATGAAGTGGGATGCCTACATTTTTTAAGGTAAGCCTGCTTATCCTATCCTTTCTCACACCTATTCTCAGGCAATTAGCCCTTTCTCTCCAAACCTAAATTAGAATATTAATTAGGCCTAATTATAGATACAATATAGTTGGGTTAAATAAAATGTAATTCCCTAATCATTGGATTTGAAATTTTGTTACTCGTTTTCATCCTATTTCTTTGATACTACATTTTTAGTTGTCATTTCCCAAAATTGCTGGAATAGCTATTTGTGTATTGAGAGCGCCAAGCACCTCATCGCTGCTCGAGAAGTGTAGATCGCCACACAAAGCTTTAGCTGAGTGTGGCCATACATTTTGAGAGTGGCAATGACTGTTTGTGCTCACAATACACACAATAGTTTTCCTATCACCGCACCGTAATTAACTTATAAATCATAGCACATAGATTAACTTTTTTGTCATTTAGATTATGTTTGCTTTTTTAGGTTATGTTATTTGCTTTGTTAACCGGTTGTTAACGTACCTGATCCGCGGCTGTGATTGGTGTAGAAACACCAACAGTGAAATCAGCTGATTAGCAAGCAGGAATGACCTATTCCCGCTCTAGAGCGTAAATGAGCTATTTTGTGTACTGTTTACAGCTGTGGCAATGTGATAATTTCCATACAGTGGTAGGAAGAATATGTTTTCATATCTGAACCCCTCTTTCATTATAAAACGTACATCCGTAAATAACATCCGACAATTTTGCAGCGACTGTTATTTTTACATGTTTTCTTCTAGTATGGAAATTCTATTCTTATCTTTAAAAGTAACTATAAAAGTATTCTTATCTTTTTGCTTTACAGAATGTTGGAGCTGGTGCGTAGAGGCAACTCTCAGTACCCCGGAGCCAAGTACATCGTGAGAGACAACGGAGAGAGGATTGACCTGAGGTTCCATCCGAAGCCGTCGGACCTCCATCTGCAATGTGGCTACAAGGTGGAAAGGCACGTCAGAGATGGAGACCTGGTCATCTTCAACCGACAACCCACGCTGCACAAGATGTCCATGATGGGGCACCGAGTCAAGGTGCTGCCATGGTCCACATTCCGGATGAACTTGAGGTGACATTTCAGATTAATTAGAGTTCAAGACTCCTGATAGTACAGAGATGACCGTTCTTATACAAAAAAAACTTTAAAAAATATAAAATTTTGAAAATACCAAAGGCGTATACACAGACACAAAATTAACTCCCCAATTGTTTACAATATTAAGAGCTTGACGTGCAACTAGTGATGTGCGATACGGGTCAATGTACACAGTATCGATATGTATTGGAACGCGATGTATTGATTCGATACGTATATTGTATCATATCTTCGGGTATCAATTTTTACCTGTATCGGATGACATATTGTATTCTATTGGTTATTTCTGATTTTAAAAAATGTAAATATCTCAAATCAAATATACAATTTTGCACCTTTTCACTCTTTGAAAAATTTTCATTTGGCCTACTCTCTTAGTAGATCGACGTTGACTATTTTTAATGAACCTCCAAAGGTAGAAACTATGAAAACCCCCATAAAAGATGGTATATCAAACATTAACGTATCCATTGTTTATCCAGTTGCACGTCACCGTACAACGCAGACTTTGACGGAGACGAGATGAACCTGCACGTCCCGCAGAGTATGGAGACTCGCGCAGAGGTGGAGAACATCCATGTGACTCCCAGACAGATCATCACACCTCAGGCCAACAAACCTGTCATGGGTATTGTGCAGGACACGCTCACGGCTGTCAGGAAAATGACCAAACGAGACGTTTTCTTGGAGAAGGTGATTATGTCACATTAGAAGACCATATTGTACTTTTGTTTAAAAGAAACTTATCACTTAAATTTTTACTTTGAATTTCAAGTTGAAAATTTACTATGCATGTGGATTTGGATTGAATTCAAGGGATAAAGTACTTAGCTTTGGAATGCATTAAGGACGAGAGAATGGGTACACAACTGATATACCTAAGTTATATTTCACAAATTTAAGACTGTTTTTTCTGTAGCAAGGTAGTATTCAATTGAAAGAACAGGAATTTAAAATCTGAAAAATAATTCAAATCTTATGGAACAAATTTTAAATACTGCTTAATTTCTTTTCAGGAACAAATGATGAACATTTTAATGCATCTTCCAATTTGGGATGGTAAAATGCCACAGCCCTGCATCCTGAAACCCAAACCCCTATGGACTGGTCAGTGAATTTTGTAGATTTTTGAATTAGTTGTAATCCAAAAGTAGTAGAAACTATTAATATTTTATGTCTTTGCATTCATGTTAATAAAGACAATTTTCACAGTCAAATTTGTACAAACAATATTCAAGGAATGGAAACAATCACTTGCATTGTACATAAATAGTCTTTATTTAAACCTAAATAGTTCAATTTTTAGCTGGGGAAATTGGGTCTGTACTCAGTGAGTGGGTTTTAGATAACACTAACATTGTTATGCTATGGAGGACAGAGAAATACAAGTACAAATTTTAAAAAGACCTACAGTATTCCCACCTGTGGTTACAATTTTATGTTTGATTCATTCTATAGCAAGGTGATTAAGGCTGCTTAAATTTATTTCATAAAACATAATATAGTCACTTAAAGCCTTATTGAGATTTCCAAGATCTAAAATTCTGGACTAAACTCTTGGTCAATATCCGATACAAAATCCATTAATATTTCAGTAGTTTAGCTTATTCAATTGTTTTTTGAGCTGCTTCAACTTGTAAAAGAGGCCTAATCCTGAACCTTGTTGTTGTTATAGGCAAGCAAGTGTTCTCGCTGATCATCCCTGGTAATGTCAACATGATCCGGACTCACGCCACACATCCGGACGATGAAGACAACGGGCCGTACAAGTGGATCTCTCCAGGAGACACAAAGGTAACTGACCACCCAGCTATGTTGTACTGCTTAGCTGGGTGGACTACAGTATAAGCTTTTATTTTCTTTTCACACAAAGATTGTATATAAATGAAGCCCGACTGATCAAAGGTTTATTTTTTAAGAAAGGGATAGAGTTTAAGGGATAATAGATACATTTTAAAAGGTCGCATGACATGCATAACACTGATAATTTGTCAAGGTATTTGACTGATTATTTCATTAAGCTAAAAATACTTCAAAGTCGAGTTAGTGTGATTTTACTTTTGGTAGACCAGGCCGGCACCACCCTATTCAGTTTCGCCGGTCCGGTCTAACGGGAGTTGTTTGGCGGGATGATTCAAACTCACGTTTTTTGTTGGTTTGGATATGCAAAAGGTATAAATTCAGATAAATTGTTTAAAAAGATTCACAAAGACCTTTTCCGTTAATTCACTACTACTATAAGGGGGTGCCACCAGTTTCCATAGCTAGGACTCTGCCATAATATGAGAGTCTGCCATAGAATGAGTTAAATATTTTAAGGCTTTCTTAATAAATGTATAATGTTTTTTAGTTTTCCTCCATTTCTTAAATGTATTGATTTATTTGTTTAAAGTTAAATTTAATTTAAAGTGTAATTTTATAAAATAACCTCTATCTAATTATAAATATTGGAATCACACAATGTAAAAATATGCTACACAATGTAAAAATTGTCAAGAGCAATAAATAAATAAATAATACACAATCAAGGTCTCTGTGCTTACTAAGGTCATGTGTCTAAGGAACATGTCGACCTTAGTCACTAACAAGACTACAAGATCGCGCCACTCATCCTACACTCATCCTTCACTCATATTTGGGTTAAAATACGCACATAGTGGCGTCCCCATCTTAAATAATTGATAATTGATTGATACTTAAATTAACCTAACCTAACCCTAAACTTAAATGATAAATAGAACATTTAAAACTAAAAAAATATTAATGAATAAACAGAAAATATCCAAGATTCTATTCTGTTATTGCATCTAGGTAATGGTAGAGCATGGTGAGCTGATCATGGGCATCTTGTGTAAGAAGACACTTGGTACATCAGCTGGATCTCTTCTGCATATTTGTTTCCTTGAACTCGGGCATGAAGTGTGCGGCAGATTTTACGGAAACATTCAGACTGTTGTTAACAATTGGTTGCTGTTGGAAGGTAGGACATTTTTAAACCCTTAGATTTATAGGCCTACTATACAATCATGTTTTACTCAAAATATACTACATATCATTGATATATTTATCAATAAGCACGCATGTTTCTTGAAAACCTTTTTTCTCGGCTCTTGTGAATAGCAGAATCCCTTTTAAAATAAAAACATTAACATGGTCCTCAGTCCATGCTGGTGACAAAATAAAAAAACCAAAACAAATGGATCCAATCACAGGTTTTATTTACAGTGTGTGGTGAAAATAGAGTCCATATTTTTTAAGTCTGTACATTACATAATTTTGGTTGAGTTTTCGACCACTGGACAACCTTTAGTTATTAGAGAACCTTGCGTACTATGAATAGCCTAATTCCTTAAAACTTAAAATTCCAGTGTTATCAAGGAATTTCTGATTCATCTCCTGCAGTTATGGAGAATCTAAAATTTACAAATGTGCAAACTTTGCAGACCGTGATAATACAGCGAATGCCCGTCCCAAAAAAGCATTTAAACTGTGCCAGAAAAACAAAAACACCAATTTCTTGGATTTTTGGTCTTGAAGTCAGTTAAATTAAGAGAATTGTTCATTTGACATAGTTCTGGAAATTATTTGATAAACCTTGATAATTTTTTTTAACCACTTTTTTCCCCATTCTATTGTATATGACTTATGGGGAAATGTAGGCCTAAGTTATATTACATTACTTGAGCACTTTCCATTCAAATAAATATCAATCAGAATCATATTTTTAATTTAGAATCAATATTTTAGCCCCGAGGTTAAATAAACAATACCAAAATACTAGCCTACCTGCACCAGCCCAGCCCCCCCCCCCTCAAAATATATTAACTTTTGAACAAAAACCACACTATTCCAGTTTAAAACTTTTCCAAGCACTGCCAAAACAACTCCAAAACATCCAAAAATCTCAAAATTCAAAACAGAAATAAAATTTTTGCTGACAAAAAATTGTTTCTGTGATATGGAAGTTTTATATTTTTTTCAAAACATAGCCCTTTGGCCTAGAATGACTATTTTTGATTATTATTGTTTACCCTATTGACCTGTCTAATTCCTGCCTCTGGACTACGGACGGAAACTACAAGTATGCAAGTATAAATATTCTTTCTTTCACTAAACTATTGTCCATGTGTTGTCAGGTCACTCCATCGGTATTGGTGACACCATTGCTGATCCCCAGACATATACTGAGATCCAGAAAGCCATCAGGAAGGCCAAGGAGGACGTGATAGAGGTGATTCAGAAAGCCCACAGTATGGACTTGGAGCCTACCCCTGGTAACACACTCAGGCAGACCTTCGAGAACCAGGTAACAATACTAGACATTGGAGACTGTCCTAGTTTCATACTATTTATATCATGCTCATTCGATAGAATTTTTATGTTTTCTACCCTATGTGCACTGTTATAAACCTTGACTTTAAGTAGATAGTTGGCAATAGCTGTGAGAAAATTTTACAATCGAAACACAAAACCGGTTACTATAATTATAATGTAAACCACTCTGGAAAGCAGCTGAAAATGCTCGTATAAACAACCACCAAAGAATAATAAAAATAGTAGTAGAAGAATGAACTATGTCATCAAAAACAGAATTTTGTTGATAAAATTAAAAAAAAAAATCATAAATTAGTGCTATAGCTTACGAAATCTTACCTATTTAATGAGTTATTGGATAATTGTTTCACCTATAACAATGGAGCTTTAATGGTATCTGCCCCAACGATCATCATCAGGAGGGATAATATATAATAATAAAGAACAAAAATTCGTAAAATATAGATTTTAGTCAGCGGAAAATAAAAGTTTGGTACTGTAAGTAGTGATGGACGAGACTAGATTTTTCACTTCGAGACGAGATTTACACTAACAAAACTTCTCATCATTTGCAACTCCTCAAAAATTATAATACTATTGAAGCAATATTTCCATGTAAAGAATAAATAATTAAAAATAAACACCTTCGCAAAGTTTTTTTAAATTAATAAATTTTAAATTTTTTTTAATTCCAATTTTTTTATTCTTAAAATTTTAGTCTTTTGAATTCTTAAAATTTATATCTTAAAATTTTATTAATTTAAAAATATTTAATAATTTAAAAATTTAAAAATTTTAAGAAATTTAAAAAAATTTAAAAAAAACTAAAATTTTAAGAATTTAAAAACTTTAAAATTTAAAATAATTAAAAACCTTAAAAATTTCAAGAATTTAAAAAGATTTTATACAGGGTGTATACCAACCGGGAAAACCGGGAGAACCGGGAAATAACCTTGAATTTGAAGGGACCTGGAAAAAACCGGGAAAAAGCCGGGATTTTTGGACCGATTCCGGGATTTTTATTTTAGCCCCGGTAGAAGATTGTAGTCGTAAAATGCGTCTTGCCGCCATTGCGGGCGACGACGATGACGTTTTCGTGACCGCGGGAGACGACGATGACGTTTCAGTGATCGCAGGACACAACAATGACATCTACACGTCCGCGGGAAATGTTCATGATTTGCCGCGATTGCGGACGACGACGTTTCCGTGACCGCGGGAGACGACGATGATGTTTACATGGCTGCGGTGAATATTAATGATTTAACCGCGATCGCGTACTTCGACGATTACGTTTCCCTAACTGCTGGAGTCAATGATGATGTCTACACGGCCGTGGAAGATTTTCATGATTTGCCGTGACCGCGAAAGATGACGATGATGATTTCTACACGGCCGCGTGAAATGCTCATGATTTTGCCGCGATTACGGCCGACGACGATGACGTTTCCGTGACCGCGGGATCAACGATGATGCATAAACTGCCGCGGGAAATATTCATGATTTTGCCGAGATCGCGGACGACCACGATGACGTTTTCGTGACCGCTGGAGACGACGATGATTATGTCTAAACGGCCGCAGATGTTTAGGATTTGGCCGAGATCGGAACGACGGCGATGAAGTTTCCATATCTGCGAGAGGCAATATGATGATGTCCACACGGCCGCGGAAGATTTTCGTGATTTGCCGTGACCGCGAAAGACGACAATGATGATTTCTACACGGCCGCGTGATATGCTCATGATTGCGGCTGACGACGATGACGTTTCCGTGACCGCGGGATGACCGCTGGAAACGACGATGACGTTTCCGTGACCGCGAGATCAACGATGATGTTTACAGTGCCACGGGAAATATTCATTATTTTGCCGAGATCGTGGATGACGACGATGACGGATCCATGACCGCGGGAGACGACGATGATGTAGACACGGCCGGGGAAATATTCATGATTTTGCCGAGATTGCGGACGACGACAACGATGACGTTTCCGTGACTGCGGGAGGCTATGATGATATCTACACGGCCGCGGAAGATATTCGTGATTTGCCGTGACCGCGAAAGACGACGATGACGTTTATGTGACCGCGGGAGTCAATGATGGTGTCTACACGGCCGCGGAAGATTTTCGTGATTTTGCCGTGATCGCGGACGACAACGATGACGTTTTCGTGACCGCGGGAGTCAATGATGGTGTCCACACGGCCGCGGAAGATTTTCGTGATTTGACGTGACCGCGAATAACGACGATGATTATGTATACACGGCCGCCGATGTTCATGATTTAGCCGCGATCGCGGACGACGACGATGACGCTTACGTGACCGCGGGATCAATGATGATGTTTACACTGCTGCGGGAAATATTCATGATTTTTCCGAGATCGCGGACGACAACGATGACGTTTTCGTGACCGCGGGAGTCAATGATGGTGTCTACACGGCCTCGGAAGATTTTCGTGATTTTGCCGTGATCGCGGTCGATGACGATGACGTTTATGTGACCGCGGCAGTCAATGATGGTGTCCACACGGCCGCGGAAGATTTTCGTGATTTTGCCGTGATTGTGGATGACGATGATTACGTTTCCGTGATCGCGAGAGACGGCGATCATGTATACATACCGCGGAAGATGTCCAGGATTTTTCTATGATAACGTAAGACTGTGATGACGTTTACGTCACTGTGGGTAGCGACCACACGACCGCAGGAAATATTCAGGATATTGCCGCCGTTGATAATGTGTTCATAAAAAAAGAAGATAATATTAAGGATTTTGCTGCTATCGAGAGAGACGATGTTTCCGTGGCCTTAAGTAATGATGATAATGAAAATTATTACTATAATAAGGATTATTACTTTTTAAACACTAGCTCACTGGACTTTGAAACAAATTTGATGTAAGTTTATATTGTATACTTAAGCTGCAAGTCTTAAATTGATTATAGTTTAGGTGGAACCAACAAATACGTGGGAACCTGGAAAAACTTCGAAAAACCAGGAAAAAACCTGGAAAAAACCTGGAATTTCACTTTAATAAAATAGTATACACCCTGTTATAATTTTAAAAAATAAAAATTTAAATAAAAAAAAAAATAAATTTAAATTTATTTTATCTTGTCTTGAAAAAAATATCCCGTTAGTATTTCAATCCCGCCCGAAGCTTTGATAAAAAAAATCTTGAAGTTTCGGGTCTTGTCTATCACTAACTGTAAGCATAAGCTGTTATCTAGAGAATATTAAAATTTGTCATATTTTAAAGTATGCTATTTTGAAATGTATAGGTAAACAGAATTTTGAACGATGCTCGTGACAAAACTGGAGGTTCAGCTAAGAAATCGCTGACAGAATACAACAACCTCAAGGCTATGGTGGTGTCAGGATCCAAGGGTTCCAATATTAACATCTCTCAGGTAATACTATTAATTATTTTGATGTCCATTAAAAAAAAACAATATTTTATATTTAATGGTTTTTAGCGAATTTCCCTATAGGGAAGTAGCTATTACCATAGGTGGCACGGTAAGACCTAGACCCGGGACCGATTTACTTTTTAATTTTGATGTCCCCAGAGGCCAAAAACACCATTCGTTCAAATTTTTATATATGTATATATATATATATATATATAGACTTATATATATATATATACGTCCGTGAACGCGATAACTTGAGTAATTTTTGTCCGATTTTGATGAAATTTGGTTTAAAGGTGTAAAGTGGGATAAACTTGAATGAGTTCGCGAACCAGCACGATCTGACCATGGGAACGGGGCTTTACGGGGGGTTTTATGGGGTAAAAATTGGTTTTTCTCACTTTTGACCCTCAAAACAAAAAATTTCCCGATTTCTCTTTAGACCTTTTTAAAGAGCTTAAAAAAACAAATAATTTAGTATATAAAAGTATTTTTGTTCCATTATTAGTAACGGAGAAAATTAAAAAATTTGTAAATTAAAAATTCCCATGTTATTCTTATGGAGAATATTGTCAAATGTTGTAGTTTGCATGTTTATGGATATATTTTGATCAAACTTGGCAAATTTATTTATTTTGTACTAAGCTATCAATATTTTATTCAAAAACACACTTTATTAGTTTCCTTGAGGCAGCAAACCTAGGTACTCGTTAAACCTAATTTGTTATTAAAATATATTTAACTGAAAATCAATTCAGACAAATGGAAATTCGCTTAGTCGGCAGGTTTGCTGCGGCGGGGGTATTATCATTTTTTACATATTTGTATTCCAGTAACATAGACCGGTACCTGTAAAGTACCGGTATTAGAAACATATTGCCAATAGCTTAAGTTGGTCAGAAAAGTATCATTTTTAGGTAATTGTTACTATAGGTTTGTTTATCACTGCTATAGAGATTTCACACGTAAACTATATATAATTAGCCTCATAATATGAGATTCAGTCAATAAAAGAGTCTTAATTAAATCTTTCTACCCAGGTTATCGCTTGTGTGGGTCAACAAAACGTAGAAGGAAAGCGAATTCCATTTGGTTTCCGTAAACGGACACTGCCCCACTTCATCAAGGATGATTACGGTCCTGAGTCTAGAGGATTCGTGGAGAACTCTTACCTTGCCGGACTGACTCCTTCTGAGTTCTTCTTTCACGCCATGGGAGGTCGTGAGGGTCTTATTGATACTGCTGTCAAAACTGCTGAAACTGGTAAGTGTTAAATATCTATCTTCTATCTTCTTTTCAATCTCATATTTCTCTACGGCCAATTCTTGCATAGCTAAAGCTTTAAGTGGTTTTTGATTTAAACTTGGACAAATTTGGAAAAAGCTTAATAAACTATAAATAGTCTTTAATCTCTTTTTTTATGTTCTGCAATAAGCAATATATAACAGAGTTGGTGATCCTTCTGAGCAAATAACTTGACTGTATAATACGCAAGATAACTAAGCTAACGGTTTTGTTTGAAGGTTATATCCAGCGGCGGCTGATCAAGGCTATGGAGTCTGTCATGGTCCACTACGACGGCACAGTGCGTAACTCTGTCGGACAGCTGATCCAGTTGCGTTACGGAGAGGATGGTCTCTGCGGAGAGACTGTGGAGTTTCAGAAGATTGCCTCCGTCGACTTGTCCAACTCAAAGTTTGAGAACATGTTCAAGTTTGATGCTTCAAATGAGAGGTGAGTGTCGTGACATGTGCTTTCTGTTTTACGTAGGTCTAGTTTTTAGAAAAAGGGATAGAAGCTATGTTACTATGGGTAAAATCAAACTAAGCTGTGGTACACAGAGAAGACACAGAAATCACTAATTGTGTCCCAGAGCATGAAATATTTTGTGTTTTCTCTGCCGTGTGCACTACGGCCCACAGCCTTTAGCGTTAAGAGACTTTATTCATACAAAAATTGTCCGGTGAGGAAATAACTTTTAATTCAAAGTTAGAATTTGGAACTTGTACATCAATAAATAATGAGTGGTATCGCCAATACTTCCATATTCTATTTCTATTTTCTTCTTTCTAATCCTATAGACTCCTCCTAGCATGGAACCTCCACTGTTCCTCTACATCTCACTCTGTTAGTCGTCTTGCTCTTGACACCTCAGGTTTTGTGTTATATCTTCAACTCTTCCAAAACAGAGCTCTCCAAGTATTGCTAGGTCTCCTCAACTTTTCATTTACCAGTGGAGGTCCATTCCTGAACTTATTTTGCACCATCTCCTTGGTTGTTTCTTGGTTCCACAATAGTTTGAAAATGTGCCATATGTTCTGTGGGAGTGTTGCTGAAGGTCTAAGTCCCGGAAGGTCTAAGAGTACTGTCAATGCAAAAAACTCATCCACTGATACTGTTTTAGACCTTGCGGAATTAGACCTTGGGCACACAATGTATATTTTGTAAATAAATTATTATAAAATGAGAGTTGCTGAAGGTCTAATTCCCTGAAGGTCTAAGATTCGAGTCCCTGAAGGTTTAAAATTCGAGTGCCGGAAGGTCTAAGATTCGAGTCCCGGAAGGTCTAAGATTCGAGTCCCTGAAGGTCTAATTCCCTGAAGGTCTAAGATTCGAGTCCCCGAAGGTCTAAGATTCGAGTCCCGGAAGGTCTAAGATTCGAGTGCCGGAAGGTCTAAGATTCGAGTCCCGGAAGGTCTAAGATGCGGGCGGGCATTGCGTCGCCAGAGATGAAGGCTATACAAGCAGGCAATAACGCAACAACTTTTAGAGTTGTAATATTCTTAGTGATAGTTTTAATAACTCTCACGTCTTTTTTTTGCTAGCTCGTTATTACAAGTACGATGAAGATATAAAAAAATCCTTATTTATATTATATCATTGACTATTGGATACTTTAATTTTTGTTACTGGCATAGTTGCAGGGCCATAACAGTTGCTATAGCTCAGAATAAATCATTACATAACTTCATAATGCATAATGTTACACTGTTCTAGTTTCTTTACAATCAATATTAAATTCATCGTTTTATGTAAAAATGTTTAAATAGATAACCTGATACGTTCCCAAGGTTCTGCTCCTTACCGAATTTACTTTATTTTTGTAAGTCGGGAACAAGTAATTACCGTACCCATGGTAAAACTTAGACCCGGAACCTATTAAGTTTGACGCGAAAAACATAAAGTGTGCCATTACTTTCTAAACAATTTTGTGAAGCTTATAAATCAAATATTTTTTGGACGTTCTGTTATGCGCTTTATGGTAAACTAGCTACAGAGCCCGATGGTGTTTTAATACGACGACCTTTAGTAAAATAATGGTTATAAAATCCATACACCACTTAACTCACAAATATTAATGGTACAGATTAAGCACATAACATTAGAACAACACACCTAACATAAGGAATGCACTTTAAACACAAATACAAATTGTTAACAACAACATTTAACCAAAGAAAATTCATTTAAACGAGGTGTTAGCCCGTCCTACGTACGGGAATTCAGTAGTCAGTTAAAACCGTGTACAATTCAGATCAGCTAGTTTACACAAATAAAGGCAAAGTTTCTTGCAGTTTTAATGTGAAAAATCATCTTGTAAACAAAAAGGCCTATACGATATGCATTTTAAATCCGATAATTTTACAATAAAACAGCAATTCTGCAACTTTTACGATATGAAAAGCGTTGAAGTGAGATTTGCAGCTGATTCGCACGGACGCACTTTGATTATTAGTACGGTAGGGGTACACTTCCATATCGGGCACAAACAACCGAATGAGTAATTTTGATTATTCGATTGTTTATTTCAAAATATCGTTTCGTAAGGTTAACCTTACCTTACTAACCAAACGATATATCGATCAATATTTTCATTCGGTTGTTTGTGCCAACGGATATGGAAGTGTACCCATAAGTAGCTACGGTAGAGAGAGTAATAGTCAATTGAGAAGTGTATAGACCTAGTCAACGATACCACCTTCCATAGCATACCTGCCTCTTCCATAATTATTATCACCAAAATACAACTACTATACACAATTTCCAGTAGGTCTGAATAGAAACGACCGAAAATAAAACGATAATATCCAATAAAATTCACAGTACACATAATTTAACTTTGGTGTCCTAACATCAAAACTAATCGTCACACCTATCCTTTATATCAATTTCAATGCATTAATTGCTAAATAAATAAGTGTAAACAAAGAAAAGTAAAAACAATAACAATTTGTTTTGAAACAGCTGTTTGCTTCAAATAATATTCATTTGAAAAAAAGAACTCACATGTAGCAGGAATATAAAAAGTAAACACGCTAGTAAAGCTAATGACGTAATTTTCGATGTTTATTATCCATACCGTTATCAGTTCTATCCTTGATAATTACTCACCCTCATTGAATAAACGTACATCATATTTCCCATATTGGTTCATTTAAACTACAATATATTCATAGTTGAAATAAAAGTGATATTTTCACGTTTGGGGGCGCTGATATAGGCGCCCCTAAATGTAACCACAACTGAACACGATTTCATAAAAGGATGGTTTGTCTAATTGCAGTATCCTAGGTCAATGTTGACGTTGTGTTCAATCTATGTCATCCATCTGTTCATCTTTGTATAAAACCCGGCTGAGGTTGTGGTGGTAATTTTAAATCGTGATTGCTGATTATTCTTGATCTTCTTTTTATGACATCAATATTTCCGGGCCTAATCCAAACAAAGTTAAAGCAGACAAACATTAATTGTAAACAAAAAGCTACCATTAAGAATTAAGACATGTAAACATTGTTGTTGTTTTTCTAATCTTTCCTTGAAAAGTGGAGCAGTAAAATAATTTGCATTTATCCTTTTTTATTAAGACTCGTGTACAGAGCCTCGATTTGTACTGTATGTGGTTTAATTAATTTTGGTTAAAACTGTGGTTTAAACTGTGGTCTAATTATCTCTACTAATCTTACTTATTTCCTATAATCAATGACAAAATAAGAGTAAATAAAATAACCTCATAGTTCCATAGTTTATATTTAACCAGCTGTTAGTTAAAACAAATTATATTGCTCTAAAACAAATCGAAGATTACAAAGATTGCTTTAAAAAAAAATTTGAACATCCTAGTATTTTACTATGCATATTTAATTAATCTGTCATCCTCTTACAGAAGAATTGAATGTATCAATGATTAGCATTACACATAGTATAAATAAGTCAACCCTAGTATGTCTTTACATTTTTATCCAAATGCTGAATTTGTGACACAAAAGCTGAATGTTTACAGCTGTTATGATAAGCAAATTATTTTATGCCAAAAGCTAGTTTAGAATCTTAGCGTCGGCTGCTAGACTTTTTAAAAATTAAAACTTAATTTCTAAAAAAAACTGGGACCATAAACTAAAATTATGGCTTCGACATTCCCTAGTTCTCAAAATTACCTTTCTTTCAACACAAAAATCATGAAAATCCGTTGAGTGGTTGATTCAGAATCGTGAAATAAAAAAACACTGTTTCGTTTTAATTAGGGGTGTGCGAATAGTGATTTTCAACCTCGAGCCGAGCCGAGCCGAGCTTTTTAAAATATTTTCGAGCTCGAGCTTTTTCGAGCCGAGCTTTTCCTAGCGTCACCTTATAATAATAATAATAATAAATCTTTATTGTCGTTTGGTAATATAAACATTACAATAGACAAGGTCAACATGTTTTGTTACATATGTTAAATAAAATATTAAATATTCTACAGAAAATGTTAAAATAAAGTTAAAAGGATAAAGCATCAGTAATAATAAAAACTTTAAAATTAACAGGGAAAAGACCATAACAAGAACAAAGAATCATCAAGACTGCTTGGCCTCACATTTAAGCGTTAAAAAATCTTCATTCTGCAAAAACTCATCAACTGAATAAAAAGCACGACTTGTAAGCCAATCTGATAATTTTGACCTATACAAATGAATACTTTCCTGATTTCTAAAATATATTGGAAGTTTATTAAATAGTTTTATTTGCAAGTATTTATAACTTTTGATAAATTTTGATAGCCTGGCTTGAGGAATATATAAATCTTTTGATTGTCTGGTGATATACCCATGGACTGAGTTGCAAGGAACAAATTTATTCAGATTCTCTTTAACGGAAACTAAATTGTAAAAAATGAAAATATTAGAGAGTGTTATGATTTTATTTTCAGCAAAAAATGTTTTGCAACTAACCCTATCTGGAATTTCAAACATAATTCTGAATTCTGAACATTATCAAAAAAATAAATTATTAAACATTTTTCTTCAAAAAGTGCATAATAGGTAATAATAATGTTCAGTCAATTTTTAAATAAACACAATATTATTTTAATATGTCTAAAAACATTGAGAATTGTCAAGACATCAAATAGTAGATAATCACGATAAGAACTGAACTGAACTAAATTAAGATGCAAGAAATAAAAGGATATGATTGAAGGCCTGACGAGATATGCAGTGCAGACTGAGCCAATCAGATTGTCTTTCATAACAGAACAGAGCTATCTTGAATGACAACAAAACAACTAGCAAGTCGATTAAATATGTATATTGTAACTACTATGAATATTTTATTCCATTTTGTATAAATAAATAAATATAAAAACACGTGATTATTCTTGTTGTTTTCCATGCACAAAATATTTTTGTTTTATGAATCGTATTAATCAAAAAGAACATGATTGGTTTGGATCCAAAAAGGTGAAGAGACAAAGTAAAAAGTAAAATTATATATTAAAAATATATAATTGACATATAGAGGAAATAGACCAAAACACTAAAATTAATAGAATAACACACAAAGTGAACAAGAAATGAAATAATGAACACGATGATTTAACACTGTCACTAAATTCTGTTATCTAGAAGGGTCGGTGAACTAATCAATAAATAGCCAAAACCAGTTTCCTCCCCCATTTCTCTCTCAGTCTCACCACCACCCCTCCCCCCCTGAGCCGGGAGGCCCAGCACTTTGTCCTTGAAACACCCTAGCCTCTGAAACAATAAACCCTTACACCCGCGTTGCTGTTTTGACAACAGGGTTATGAATGCATTCACTATTTTTCATTTTCCAGGATTAACTCTCAATTATTATTATTTGCAAGTTACAAATAGGAAACTACATCACATTATGGTATTCAATGACCCATGTATTATCAAAAATTAATAATCCATTACTTATTTTGATAATAAAAAGCATTCATTACAGCACGCACCACTTATTGATATTTAAATAATCATCAAAGTAACTGTTACTTTATACAAAATAAAATAGGTACAAAATTGTGTGGCCAGTCAAACTTTATAAACAAACATTTTATTCTATAAAATACAGATGGTAAATAGGGGTTGGTTTAAAGGAAATAAAATACAAAACAGATAATTAATTATTTTGATAAACATTAGAAAGGTTATGGGATTGATTGAACTAAAATAACCGCAGGGAAACTTATAAGTAGAAAAGTCGTCAACCACAATCTGTTTAATCAGTACATTGTTAGAGAGAGCAGAGAGAGAAAGAGAGATAGCAGATAGGGGCGTTTGATAAGGAATCTGAAAAAGTAAACAAACAAGGAACAACGACACGACGATTGATACTTGTTTATAGCCTTATTGTGTCGCCCACTACATTTGCACACGTGACCACTTTTTGTTTCTTCCTTATCTTTCATCCGTCCCAAAATAGAATTCCTGAAATTGTTTGTTGGTATAATCTCCCCTCCCACACAAGGCGCAGTGCTCAGTGCGCACTGTAGGTTGTCACGGCAACCGTGTGTCGTCATAGCGACGAGCCAATCACGCACTCGCACTGCGTTGTATATTACGATACGAATAGCTGTGTTAGAAAGACAACGCGATAGGTGGTAGTTTGTCTCTTTACTATCTCCTCAAAATTACGAGATAATCATTGCGTCTTGACTGAGCTGAGGTTCGTGCTTATCAAACCTCGAATGGTTGAACAAAGAATTGTGATAACATTGTTTCCAATTACGACCCAAATTAAGTGTTTTTTTTAGTTTTGACTTAGTATTAAAAGCTCGGCTCGAACTTCGAGCTTTTTCAAAATGCCTCGAGCCGAGCCGAATAATGAAAAGCTCGACCAAAAAGCTCGAAGGTTCGAGTACTCGCACACCCCTAGTTTTAATATTATAGATAACACTATAACAATAAGCTGTTAAACTATTAACAGCTGTTACGTATGATTAGATTATGTATGCATGATGGTAAACCAATTATTGCCATCTATTAATATTATTGGTTTTTATTTTCCACGTAGGGTTAGCTCTTCTACCCAACGCCTTTAAAATAACGCCTGTAATACTAAGCAATTGCTCGATTTCGAGCAACAGTGACACTAGTTAATTATAAAACATGTTGTTGATATAGTATAAAATGTACAGTAAAATTCAAAAAATATATTCTCTACTTGTTAGTTTACTTATAGAGCTAACTGTACACGTTGGATTGAATGAACAGTGGAGTGAATGAACAGGCAAATAATTTGTAAAATTACTTTTTGGAGTGAACCATCTTAGAGTGAATGAAACATCTCGATAATTACAACTCTAAAAGTTGTTGCGTTATTGCCTGCTTGTATAGCCTTCATCTATGGCGACGCAATGCCCGCCCGCATCTTAGACCTTCCGGGACTCGAATCTTAGACCTTCCGGGACTCGAATATTAGACCTTCAGCAACTCTCATTTTATAAACATTTATTTAAAAAAGTTACATTGTGTGCCCAAGGTCTAATCCCGCAAGGTCTAAAACAGTATCAGTGGATGAGTTTTTTGCATTGACTGTACTCTTAGACCTTCCGGGACTTAGACCTTAGACATATTACCAGATTAGACCCTCAGCAACAAGTACAAACTGCAAAATGTGTGTCGAAGGTCTGATTAGACCTTCCGGGAATTAGACCTTTAGCAACTGATCCTGTTCTGTTAGTAGTTACATTGACTATATTGAGTTAGTCAAAATAAAGTATAGGTAACACAAATTTGTCGACAGATACTTGCGAAAGATCTTCACTGAAGATGTGCTGAGAGACCTGCTTGGGTCCGGAGAGGTGATATCTGAGCTGGAGAAGGAGTGGGAGCAGCTCTGTCGGGACAGGGAGGCTCTACGACAGATCTTCCCCAGTGGAGAGAGTAAAGTAGTGCTGCCATGCAACCTCAAGAGGATGATCTGGAATGTACAGAAGATCTTCCACATCAACAAACGAGCACCTACAGACCTCAGTCCGCTCAGAGTCATACAGGGTAAGTGTTGTTTGTGGGCGATCAGTAGTTTTTGTTTTTTTTCCGAGCTTATCCTCCTCTTTGGCAATTGGTCATTTGTTCAGTGTAGAATGAATCCAATGATTTTTTTAGGATTTACCCTAAAGATACCTCAACCTATGTTGCACTAATGTTTCTCTTGTACATTGCATTTACAGAACTATTGTCAACTAGCCCAATGCCATGAGGGGATTTCATAATGTCTAAAAACCATCAACTAGACCCCTAATATCCGAAAAAGTAATATTTTATAAATCTTTTGTAATTTACAAAATAAACTCCATAATGTCCAATAAAAAGTTGTGGCTCAGTTTTAGAAAGAGATAAGAATATTTTCACACATCAAATCCCTGAGATCATCATTGTTTAGAACAGGATAAAAAATAAAACAGTTTCAACATGTCAGAACAATTAAGATTTACGAAAAATATCAAATTGACATGATTGTGGTAAAAAGGGATGAAAGACCAGACCACAATATAAATGGCAAGGCATAATAAAATGGGAAAGGGGAACATCAACCTTAAGTGGAAGAACAGATTGACACGGGTTACTTTAGCTACACTTCAAAACTCTTCTAGACAAGCTATGAATGTTGCAAGGTTTCTCTGTCCAATCTGTTTTGATTTTAATTAATGATGTAAAGTTTATCTCACCGTCCTGTTTTGTTTTTGCAGGTGTGAAGGACTTGCTCCAGAAATGTATTATTGTGGCTGGAGAGGACCAGCTGAGCAAGCAAGCCAATGAGAATGCAACGTTGTTGTTCCAGTGCCTTGTGCGATCTACCCTCTGTACCAAACTTGTCTCAGAGAAATTCCGCTTATCCACTGAAGCCTTTGAATGGTTGACTGGTGAAATCGAGAACAGATTCCAACAAGCACAGGTATTTCATCGGTTGTTTCTATAATTGTACAGTATTACAAAAAAATATTAAATTGTTTAAACTGATTGAAATTTATATTTTCATGAAGAATTGGTCTCTGGATTGTTTGAATTATCCAATGAAGGTTTAAATTATCTGGTTACTGTAAAAAACTATTATGTGAAGTTTAAAGAAAAACAGCTGTTTTGTGCTGTAAATTGAGCACATCATTAGGTCAGAATGTCGTCTGATATTTACAAATTCCTCATAACAACACGCAAAACATTTAAAAACTGACTGACCAGATGGTAACTATATGACAACACACTTGATATGGGGCTGGTAGAGCCGACTCATCCTGATGGTATATATTCACGACTTTCCCTCCAAATGTTTTGTTTTGGGTGTGCAATCAGGTAATACCTTCCTGAGTAACATTTTCTTCCTTGAAATGTGATAACATCTTAATTTGTTCTATTATTGTAGGTACTTGTATTTCTTGTAGTTATGTATTTAAATGTAATAATAAATCCGTGGTAAAAAATTTCTTATAACTTTACTGTGTGTTGTGAATAACTGAACCTTTTTAGAAAATAAGGCTTTAATAAACTTAAATTGTTACATAGTTGTCAAGGTAAACAAATCTCTAATACAAACAACAAGTAAATAAATACTTCAGCTGATTACTAAAAACAGTAATTCATAACACTGTGATTTTTCTAACCGAGATTGTGGTTGTTAAAATAGGCTAATTTTGAAAAACTTTTAAAATCACTAAAACAATATTTAGTCTAATTACTAATGTGTACGTTTGCAGTGTCAGCCTGGAGAGATGGTGGGGGCCTTAGCTGCGCAGAGTTTGGGAGAGCCTGCCACTCAGATGACGCTCAACACTTTCCATTTTGCTGGTGTATCGTCCAAGAACGTAACACTTGGTGTGCCTCGTCTAAAGGTAACTTTTTAAACATTACTATTATAACATTTCATAGACTAGTAATTAGTCTCTGAGCATGTTTAAGCACTTGTATTACCTTTTGAAGCTCTTCGACCGTTGTAAAAGGGTAATGATTGAAACATTCAATTTCATCCAAGAATTTCGACAATTAAACTAACAGCACTCCAAGAATTTGTAGCAGTAACTAAAGTTTTATGGACTTTCTTAAATTTTCCCGTGTTCCCTTGCTTTGACATTTTCCTTGCATCCTTAAAACCATTTGTATACTTCTTATTTTATTTTAGTTTATTTATTTTCTAAAATACAAATTTTCAAACTCATTCTATTTAACAAATTTAATGAATCGATGAAGGTGCTGATTACTAGTCATTAATGGCTTGTGTGCAGCAATTATTATGATTTTTGTTACTTCACAGTGCTTTTTTTATTCAATCGGTCTTTTGTTTTCCTTGTTTTTCTGTAAATGAACTCTAACATGAAATATATACAGAATACAATCATGTACCAAAAAGTAAATAACAAAGTAATCATACAATTTAAATTAGTCAGATTTTAACAATTCAGTAATAAACAGATGTGAACGCTGAAAAAACTATGAAAAAAGTCTTGTAATTTTGGTACACCACATTACCGAAACTTGTAGGTATTAGGTCACTCGACATCTCTAAAAGGCTGATTGTTTTACAGGAAATCATCAACATCAGTAAGAAGCCCAAGGCTCCCTCCCTGACAGTGTTCCTGACAGGAGCTGCTGCACGAGATGCGGAGAAGGCCAAGAATGTTCTATGCAGACTGGAACACACTACTCTGAAAAAGGCAAGCTTGATCAAACAACATATTTGATTTGGAGTTATTTAAGAACATTTTTGGTTTAATTAGAGAAGAAAATGTATATTGGCAAACAAGGCTTTGATTGAAGTCCGCTATACAAAAACTGAGGCTTCTTATGAAAGTTTTGAAACTGGAAATTATATTATAAGCAAAATGTACAAAAGTCTGTAAGAAGTAAGAAGAAGAATAATAATACATTTTTCTGTGTGAAATAAAAATCTAGAAACAGTGTTCAAGCTTTTCTTCATGTTCTATTTTCATGTTGAACATTGCTTTAAATGTTAGAGTTCAAATCACTACCATTTTTAAACAGGTTAAATGGTTATGAAAGTAAACTGTGTTGGGACACCCTTTATAGTGAAATGAATCTATCGTTTCTCAACCAAAAGTTGTCTTCTAGATATTATAAGTAAAATGTCTCGATAACATGAAGTTGTTGTTGAATCTCTTCAGGTTTGTTCAAAGGGTTAGCCATTTTTATTAATTTTAATTTAATTTCTAAAAACAAAAATTATGCAGCTAAAATTGTTTTTTTTCTCATCTAAACAATTCAATAATGTATTCTTACGGCCTATAGGTAACAGCGAATACTGCCATCTACTACGACCCAGACCCTCAAAACACAGTGATACCGGAGGACCAAGAATTTGTCAATGTCTACTATGAAATGCCCGACTTTGACCCTACACGCATTTCACCGTGGCTACTCCGTATTGAGCTTGACCGCAAGAGGATGACTGACAAGAAACTGACAATGGAACAAATTTCAGAAAAAATCAATGCGGGATTCGGAGACGACTTGAACTGTATTTTCAACGATGACAATGCAGAAAAATTAGTGCTGCGGATCCGTATTATGAACAGTGACGATAACAAGATGGCCGACGAAGAAGAAACCTTAGACAAGATGGAGGATGACATGTTCCTCCGGTGTATCGAGGCTAACATGCTGTCTGACATGACATTGCAGGTTAGTTTTGTGAAAAATAAAAATGTCTTGATAAATACTAAAATATACTTGTATAAATATACTAGTTTTCATTTAAGTTATTATCGGTTGGGCGTCAACTAGACTTATAACTTTTCACAGTCGTTTTACTTCCACCAAATGTTATTTCACTCCTCTTGGGAACTCTCTCTTCTTGCATTCTTCTCAAATGTCCCAGCAAAAAATTTGCTTTTTTCCATCTTAAACTAGTCACCTTCTGATCACTTCATTCATTCTCTTCAGATTCACATATTTTTGAGCAAACAAATTATGAATTAAAGAATCATGTTTTAGTTTTTTTTTTTATTTGAATGTATTACCTACTAAGGGAGAGCTTTTGATGTGTGGTCTGGAAAATGATGCACAACTTTTTTATTTAATCCCTTTTTCAGACCATAGTTGTTGTTTTAGATTGTATTACAATTTTACCATTACCAAATAATTTAAATATAAAAATTACCTTTACAAAAATTACTTGTTCTCATACTTTTAACATATTGAAACGGTATTCTTTTCTTTTCATTTGAATTACAATTTTTCATAGTAAAAAATCGTAGTATTCTATCAAAATTTCTTGTATGCTACAAATAAAATTGTTAAATCTTTATCAGTTTTGTGTGCCTCAAATCGCATACAGCCTCTATCTTAGTATTTCTTACTGTTTCGCCTGTACAGTTCTGATCACTATCCGTGTTGTGCAGGGTATAGAGGCTATCAGCAAGGTGTACATGCACTTGCCACAAACTGACTCCAAGAAGCGCATCATCGTGACGGAGAGTGGGGAGTTCAAGGCCATCGCTGACTGGCTGCTGGAAACTGACGGGACCAGCCTGATGAAGGTGCTGAGCGAACGAGATGTCGACCCAGTGAGGACCTTCTCCAACGACATCTGCGAGATATTCTCGGTTAGTTACTCCTAGCTAACTGTTCCTCTAAATTACGATAGGTGGAAAAGTAATAAGTTACAATATTTGTAAACATAACCTCTGATGTAGGCCTACTGTTTTTCCACTGATTTTAAAGCACTGAGACTTGATTCATTCCTTAACATGTCATGTCCATTCTCATTGTCAGCTTTTGTAGTCAATAGGCCTATAATTCTCTAACTTTTTTTTCTATTTTGTGAATTTTTCATTTGAAATTCTATTGTAAAGCTTTTAAGTAAAGATGTCAATTGCTTTATTGACTATTAAACTTCTTTCTTACCTCAGTTGACCTTTTTTTAACTTTCATATTGGATATTTGTCATACAAATTAGACTTGCCTTAAATTGATTACCACCATGTACATTCTCAACTAGGCCATAATTCTTCTTGACTAAAACTTTGGACAAATTACAACTCAGGACATTTCCTGAATACAAATTTGAAACTCAAACTGTGAGAGGAAATCCTGTATTGATTTAATGATGTTTGGTGGTTTGTACTGTGATCTATGATTGCTCGTGTTTATTCAGGTCTTGGGTATTGAAGCTGTGCGAAAGTCAGTAGAGAAGGAGATGAACACTGTGCTACAGTTCTACGGGCTGTACGTAAACTACCGACACTTGGCTCTGTTGTGTGACGTAATGACTGCCAAAGGTCATCTCATGGCCATCACACGTCACGGCATCAACAGACAGGACACCGGGGCACTCATGAGGTAGGTGTAAGGCTAATCCTTCCACTGTGACTGTTAAAGGAGTTTTTTCGGAGTGGAATTTAGCTAGCTTATACCTCAGAAAACTAGAGTCTACGGGTTGTTCACGACTAAATCTTGCACAACGTGACACAACCAATATTTTGTCCTTGTTTGGGACTCCAGAGAGTTGTTCTTCCAGCTAAACCAATGCCTTTCCAAAACAAAATTACCTCATTTGTAGGCCACATGTTTTCCCTGTAAGTATGTACAGAGCTGTGTCGTTCAATGCAACAGAACTCTACTAAGCCCATGTAAACCATCCAATCATTTAATTACATGTTCTTAGTGATGTAAAATACCCGGGTATTTAAAACTCAGGGTAAATACCCTGGATATTTACCCGGGTAAATACCCAAAATCCATAAATACCCGGGTATTTTGGGTATTTATGAAATCGATAGGAATTCATTTATATTCACCCCTAAATATGTTATTGTTATCATTACATGAAAAATTAGGATAGTCTATAACATATTTTACTGTAACTTGAAGCTTTGCTAGTACCTTTTATCTTTGACTATTAATACAACAACTTTTATTTAATGATTTAGGACTTTTTAAAATAAAACATTAAATTTTTAAATAAGAATGGGGTTTCGTTTATTATCAAGACAACACCTCATCAGAGAAATAGTGAACCTAAACCTACTTCTACTGTTATTAAATTATGATAGTTAAAATGTTTATCGTATAAATGGCATGGAAGGCTAGACAGACCTAAGGCAGAATGGCAGAATACTAAAAGAAATTAAACTTTTCTGTGTTACCGCTTAGTTGGAAACAATAATATATTTGGATAAATCTACTAAAAAAATGTATCTCCTGTTTTTTGGTCTAACTTAATATAATTTTGAAAGATTTATTGTGCTATAGATTTAAATGTTTTGTATCACAAGTTTATGAAATTAGTTTTTTTTATTATTTTGATACCATTGATACCAACAAAAGATCTAGAACAAAAATATTATTTATTTAATACTGCCATCCTACAGATTGAACTTTAATTATTTTCTTAAATTGTTTACACGCCTAGGCCACAACTAGGTTAAATTTTCATGTATTTATAAATAATAATTATTACTTTGCAAATTATTTTTCTTCAATTTCAATAAAATAAATTCATCTATCTATCATAGAAATTAAAAAATGATACGAAGTCAAGAGCAGTGCAACCATGCGACCAGGGTATTTATGCCGGTTATGCTTTATGCTCAGACCTGGGTATTTATAGCGATTGTACCCAGAAGTAAAATGCTAGTAGTGACCATATGAAATTTTATTTAACACATTTTATCATCATTTTACTATCCTTACAGGGTTATAATTGCAAAAAAACATCTCAATCTTCTCTAACTTTAATACAAATTATAAATACCCAGTTTTTGGGTATTTACCCTGGCCTGGGGTAAATTCCCGGGTAAATACCCAATTTATATTTACCTACCCACTGGGTATTTACCCGGCCCACATCACTACATGTTCTGTTTACTATTTATGGCCAACTGACTAATCTTTCAGGGTTTGAAATGTATTAGTGATATTTTCAAAGGAAATGCACTTGAAGCTAAACAGTTAACAAAATCCCAACTGTCCTCTATAGTAGTGTGTAGTCACTATGAAACGTGTAGGCCTACTCACACCAGTGTGAAAATTTGTGTAGTAAAACAAATATGTCATGTGTAAATCAGAGTCATAGACTGGGTGGCCAAAAAGTCCCTTTACACTAAAGACAAATTTAATTGGTGTTCTAGGGCCGAAGCGGTGGTGGGGGAAGGGAGAATGAGGCTTCATCCTTTTCCCCCACTGTTTCCTTACTACTAACGTACGAATATTTGCTAATCAGTCTTGTTTATAACAACAGTCTACTACGCACTGCAAAATTGTGTGAAGGGACTTTTCGGCCACCCTGTACTTCCTACAGTTTACATATTGGGTACTGTTATTTTATGAAACCATGAGCATCTGTCGAAGTTATTTAAGTTCCATCTTTTGATTTCTTAAATAGGCTATTCAAAATTCCTTTTCTACTTAAATTTGTTTGTTGTAGATGTTCATTCGAGGAGACAGTGGATGTGTTGATGGACGCTGCATCTCACGCTGAGGTTGACCCCATGAGGGGAGTGTCGGAGAACATCATTATGGGTCAGCTGCCCAGGATGGGAACTGGTAAGCTGGCGGAATGTCTATCTTTGTAATCCATTTACGGATGTACAGTTAGTTTTACTAATGAGCTAATTTTACATAAAGACTAATTTATTCCAGAAGATAACTGCTAAGAGTGCCAAATTTCTTTCATAGTTTTTGTCATGTATGTAAAATGTAAATTCTTATTTAGCCTCAAAATGTTGTTTTTTTTAGTTTTTTTTTTTTTTTTAGTTGGATACACCTTGAATCATTGACAGGTTTAGGATTGACAATGCTTGACAGAGCCAACATTTCTAGGGTTGTAACATGCCATGGTTCAATCATCCACATGAGTTTTAATTGGTGCCAGAACTTTTTAAGAAAACTGTTGAAATATCCCTTTTCAATTTGCACAACTCTAGGGTAGAAGAAAAGAAAAGGGTGCAATTTTATAAGGTGTTTGTATCAACATGAAATGTTGAGTTATTGGTAATACAAAAACAAATTGGTAGAGTCCATAAATCTGTGGTTCATAAAATATATACTGAAGATGAATCCAACCCTGCTGTCCCTATGGTATGAAACATAATGTCAAGTACTGTATTGGCTTGAACCGGTTGACAAGTAGCAAGTCATAGGCTGTATCTCTGATTCTGTTGTCTTCAGGTTGTTTTGACCTCCTACTGGACGCGGAGAAGTGCAAGGCTGGTATAGAGATACCCATGAACATGGGCATGGGTATGATGGGTGGAGCTGGTATGTTCTTTGGCAGTGCTGCCACACCCTCCATGAGTCCTCAGATGACACCCTGGGTCCAGGGCAGTACACCCGCCTACCCTGGCAGCGGCAGCGCTTGGTCCCCAAGTGAGTATATATTCATAATAATTGTGATAGGAGAGGAAACTTCAATTACAGATTCAAGTTATGCATTCATAAATCATTTTTCTTTATAACAGTGGTTCACTTCATATTTAGAAAACAGAGAACAGTTTGTTGAAGTGGACTACGTAATCGAGAAAAGAAATACTAAATATATTGAAAACTTAAGATCTCAGCGGCAGACACTACGATATGGAGTACCCCAGGGATCAATCTTGGGGCCTCTTTTGTTCCTCTGTTACGTTAAGGGGTTACCAGAGATGATCCCAGTCAGTGATGGATCTATGTGTCTGTATGCTGATGACTCTAATGTTTTGTTCTCAGGAAAATCCAATTTAATTATTGAAAAATCCTCAAACAGGAGTCTCCTATCTCTAAAAAAGTTTTTGGGTGAAAGAAATCTGAACTTGGAAACTCTTAGGATAATCTATTATTCTCTAATTCATTACCACATATCCTATGGAATCGCCATTTACGGAGAAACAACTAAGGCAAATTTGGATAAAATACTGATCATGAAATTAAAAAGAACAGATTCAGTTAAAAATATCTTTCCTGAATTGGTTGTATTAACAGTTTACAGTTTGTATATTTATGAAACAATAATTTATGCAAAACAATTTCATTTATTATCCACTGCAAGTAAATATAACAATTGCTTTCAAATTAACCTTCCTAGACATGATTTAGAATTCTATACCAAAAAACCTTCATATGCAGGCTTAAAATTTCTTCAAAAATTACCGATTTCACTTAAAAAAGAAAATAATACAAACAGATTCAAACGCCAACTAAAAGACTTGTTGATAAGAAACCCATTTTATTCTATCAAAGAATTTTTAAATTGTAATCTCGAAACGACCATTTGAATTCCAGATACTACCTAGTTTTACTCTGACGTAACCTTCTAAGATTTTGTGATTTTTTTAAGTTATAGCACTCATTTTTAGTTTTACTATATAAATCCTTTGTGGATGATTTTAATTATTTAGTTTATAATTTTTTAATTATTTAGTTTATAGTTTTTTGTTTATGTTAGTTTAATGACACTATTCAAGACATGTTGTCTAAACTTTGTGAATAAAGAATATTTGATTGATTGATTGATTTACTGTTACAAAGTTTAAACAATTAATCTTTAATCTCATAGTTAATTCCTAATTACTATTGTATATTTAAATTAACCTCAAATTTTGTGTTCCAGTTGGCAGTGGTATGACTCCTGGAGGTCCCAACTTCTCTCCGTCAGGGTCCAGTGATGCCAGCGGGCTGTCCCCTGGCTACAGTCCAGGGTGGAGTCCCCAGCCAGGCAGCCCAGGGTCTCCAGGTCCCTCTATGTCTCCTTACAGGGTCTCTCCCTCTGGAGCTGCTTCACCCTCATACTCTCCACACAGCAACATCTACGCTCCTGCGTCACCCAGCCTCACACCAACGTCGCCCAACTACTCCCCGACCTCACCCTCCTACTCGCCTACTTCACCCAACTACTCACCGACGTCTCCTTCATATTCACCTACTTCTCCGAGTTACTCACCGACGTCACCGTCGTATTCGCCGACTTCTCCTTCATACTCGCCCACATCTCCGAGTTACTCGCCAACGTCTCCCAGTTATTCTCCAACATCCCCCAGCTACTCACCGACTTCACCCTCATACTCTCCTACTTCTCCATCGTACAGTCCTACTTCACCATCTTATAGTCCGACTTCTCCGTCCTATTCGCCGACCAGCCCTTCATATTCGCCGACATCACCGAGTTACTCCCCGACTTCCCCTAGTTATTCACCAAGTTCGCCCAACTATACGCCGGCTTCACCGTCCTATTCTCCGACGAGTCCATCTTACTCTCCGTCATCTCCTCAGTATTCACCTGCCAGTCCTTCTTATTCTCCCTCATCTCCAAAGTACTCCCCGACATCTCCTTCATACTCTCCAACTTCCCCCAGTTATGCTGCGTCCAGTCCTCAGTACACACCAGCCTCTCCTCAGTATTCCCCCACCTCACCTACATACTCACCTACCTCTCCCTCATATTCACCTACTTCTCCCTCTTACTCTCCTAGCTCACCCAAGCATACTCCTGGGTCTTCAACATATTCTCCAACAACACCCAAATACTCTCCCACCTCCCCCACATACTCTCCGACCAGTGCTCAGTATTCTCCTACCAGCTCCAAGTACTCTCCCACCAGTCCCACCTACACCCCTACCTCCCCCACCTACAGCCCCACCTCTCCCACTTACTCCCCGGCTGTTCCTGGGTATTCACCCACTTCTCCCATTTACTCTCCTACATCTCCCCACTACGAGCCTCAAGATGACTAATTACCTAGTCAAATGTTGTTAAAACTATTTAATAGCTTTTTTTTATAATGTTCTGTTAGCATTGGGTTTAAACACTCTTAGCAGGAGTGATTTTTCTATGTATAAGATTTGTAAATATTGAATGCCTGTGAGTTTTTATAAATGTGAGAAACTTTTGTTTATTTATACAATAAATGTTGGAAGCAACAATATTATTTTTGTAAAAACTCATTAAAAGCTACTAAGCTAGGTACAAAGATGGAGTTTTAAAAAGGAAAAAAAATCGAAACCAAAAAAGTCTTGTTTCATAAATCATGTTACCTTATTTTTTGAATTTGTGATGCTTATCATCACTATATTTTAAATCATGATGTCTCACATAAAAACTGACATTTTGTATACATTTTCCAGTTTTGGTTTAGGTTTAGAACTAAAGGAGATTGTACTGTTAATATATTTATGTATTTTAATAATATTGTCAATAAATCCATCATCAATTGGAATGTCTTTTTTATTGAGTAGTTGGTTCCAAATCTTACTATTTTGACACTAGAGATTAGATTTAAGATTAAAACTTAGTATTTTTGCTTCTTTAACGGCACCACCTCCATCTCAACACAAGCATAATACTCGAGTGTTTATTAGTTAGGATTGAATAACAACAAGAAAGTAGGAAACATAGAATGTGTTTTATACATAAAAAGTGGAATAACTTCCTTAAAACTCTAGATACATATCTAAATAACAAAACGTCTTCTTAACCTATTTAAGTATACATTTTGATTTTAAAACATAATACTGTTTGTGGTGATAAACATTGAAGAGCTATACAATAACAATAGTCTCCCACGAAGGGTGCAAGTGAACTGGGATAAATAATTACTATCTTATCTCTTAGTCCCGTTCCTTCCTGAGTTTTCGTTACTGGAATGGTCAGAATTTATTTTAACAATGGAAATCCTCTCTCTTTGAGATAGTGCTTCTTTTTCCTCTGCTTCAGACGCCTCGCTGTTCCATGATTGGAGCTCCGACGAAGCGAACAGAACGTAGACGATTCCTGAGGAGATGAGCATTCCTGACGTGATCAGGAACACGAGCTTCCATCTTTCTAATGTTTGCTGAAATCATAAGTTATAAATTATTTAAATATAATAAGTTGAATGCTGCAGCAGCTTTTAATGTGGATGTAAGTTAGGTATATACATTTACTACAACACCACACTATAGGGTGCCCAGTTATTTGTGATAATTTTGAGTGATGAGACGAGAGCTTTGTTACTAAGACAGCTAGGTATTCAACATAAAAAAAATTACAGCATGTTTCTTAGTAAATTTTGTTAACATGGAAGATACTGACTGCTAGGGACTGTTCCTTACTAAGCTGTAGCCTCCTAAAATTATCGTAACTTGTATAGATTAACCCAATATTAGGGTTAATTTATTTTGCTACACTCTGTAGGTCTACAAATCTTTGACACACATGGTGATTTTAAACCAGATTACTGTATCGTTATACCAGTGTTTTACTGGAATTGCTCACAAACAAATATTAGTGTAATGTCACTATCCCAGTTTTTATGTATAAAGCTAATTAGTGTACATACAACATGTATTAACCCTTTCAGTGCTATGCAAAGATTTATCATAAGGTCTTTTTCCCAAAAAGTGCTAATAATGATATATCGTGGTTCGTGTTTCATCCGAAAAGTGCTAAGCGACTTTCGATCGTGTGAGTTTAAATGGGCATTTCGGTTGACTCGGTTGTTGTTTCGAAACAGTGATGGTTTCTTTTGATTCCTCATACAATTGAGGCCTGATATATCATTCCTTAGCACTTTTGAGTTACAAATTTTATTTTTACCGACTTTTTCTCACACACGACTTTGCCCCTGTGGCAAGCTTAGCACTTTTCGGGAAAAAATAACTCCAGCATTTTTCTAAAAAAAATTCTAGCATTAAAAGCGTTAACAGGTGCTCATTGTAGACTACTCACATTGTTGAATGTCAACTCTCCGACGAGGTACGCAGACACAAACCCGGGTGTGTTGGTCACCAACCCTACGACACCTTGGAGTACACCTGACAAGTAAAAAAGTGATTAAAACGTATAATTATTATGAAAAAAAATTTCTATAAGCTATTATAAAATACCACCTTTTTCAATTAAAATTCTTAATTACATTTCCATTACCGTTGCATCCAGCTTATTTTATTTTACACATTTAGTTAGTCTAACTAGTCTCATATCATACAAAGGTGTTTATATAACTGATAATAAGCTGATAATTTTTGGTGGGGGTAACATAAAAGTACCATAAGCTACACTATGCTTCAGGAAACAGAACGATTTCATAATTTTCCAAAGGAGAATATAACCGTAAAGTGTTATTTATTTTATTGATGTATTTAGACACCATCACGTAAAAAATTATTCTTCTGAAATTCACTTCCGTACATAATAGAAATATAATGAAAGACGCACATGCAGGGTTAATAAAGTCTGGAGACGCCCTATTAAACTTTTTAATGGGTTACACCAGGAAAACCAAACTCTGCACATGTCTATTTAGCATAAAAGTGTGCTTTTTTTGGTATCCCAATTTCGTCTGAAAACCCAAAATGAGTTATTTTGGGGGCTGCTCAAAAATTTTAAATATAAAGCCCCATCAAGTGACACATCATTTTCAAGGCCATTAGTTTAAAATAATATCGGTGAAAAAAAGAGGCCTCTATCTAAACTTATTATAGAATGGCAGCCATTTAAATTTGTCATCGCCCTGAGAGACCCCGTATAAAAATATACATCAATATCTCCTATTCACGTTTTTATGGATTTTACCACAAAAACTAAACACAGTACTTAGCAAGAAACTAAAAACTACTTTTTGGTCGGTATGACAATTTACCCGGGTGCCCAAAATGGAGTATTTTGGGAACAGCTCAGTAATCTTTTTTACTTTTTTATAAACAGCTCACTTACTGGCAAAGTTAGGACTGATATCGACTACATTGGACAACGGCCCGGACGTGACGGCCCCATGCACTCCTGTGGCTAGGATCAAGAACAAAATGGCAAGTTGTGAGTTGCAGCCGGAGTAAGCCAATCCGATCACCAACAACCCTTGCAGAATGTTGCCTAAAACAACAGAATCAGTATTAACATCATCAGAACAACAAAGAGGGTAGGAGTTGTTGGGAATTGGGAATCATTTAGTATCAGGAGATACAGACACGTATTTCATTTTTTATATTAACTTTGGATACTGCAAGTATACATATCATCCTACTTTGTGGAATGTCAAACCTACTTAAAGGTTTTTGGGATAGCAAGAATTTAATTTGAAAGGGTTCACATTGATACAAAAGTTATAATATTCCACTGTCACCGTAAATGTAAATACCTGTATATTTTTTATACAAATATTGATTTTATAAGAACTAGTAGCTTGAAGCCTATTGTAATCATGTATTACTATTAACTAGTGGTCGTCCTGTGGTCGAAACTCGACCAAAAATAATTAATGTACAGACTTCTCTATTTTCTCCCCACACTGTAAATAAAACATGTGATTGGAATTTTTTCCATTTGTTTTGATTTTCTGTTTACATTTTGTTGTTATTTCGTCACCATCATGGCAACCCATATGGTCCATGTTAATTTTTTGAAGTTTTCAAATTAATTTTTTGTTCTTATTTGTTAGCCTATTTTAATTTTTAAAAGCATTCTGCACATCTACAGGAAAATATCTTTCCAACAGTATGCGTAGATTTTCCCTGCGATGCACACGAGCTGAGAAAAAAGGTTTTAAAGAAACATGCTTGCCTATTAATATATAGATAGATGGTGAATAAACTTCTTGATTCTTGAACTATTGAATATAAAAACTATTTTACTGTGGGACTGAAAAATAGTTAGGGGCTGGACAAGGAACATCAGTACGGACGAGAATTCTGCCCCAGAATTGACGTCACCATTTTCAAACAAAATCGACACTGAGACATCTAGACTGATAACTTTGGATACCCTTGACATCATTTTTGAGTGAGTAATCACATTATATATTTTTTTTAATTTTAGGATTGCAATACTCATAATTATTTGCACTCAATGTGTTAATTACTTTCACACAGTAACTGTAAAATATTTGTTTTAAGTTTTTATCGGAATACATGGTGCATACCAGTACTCCATTTAAATAGGTGCTGCTCTATAAACTATAACCAAACCTCGTAAAAACAACTTACTAAAAAATACAGCCAGTTTGCGTACATTTGTTCTGCTCAGGGCTTGTTTCTTGAGAAGATGATCCGCAAAGATGCCGAATCCAAGAGCAAATAGCCACCGACACAGATGCGGTATGCCTGACCAAATACCTGCCTGTAATACAAAATTTGTCAATGTAATTCTCTGAAAACTACAAATATGGTATGGGTATGAATCACTGAGCTAGAGCAGGGGTGCCCACAAGGGGGGGCTGTGACGCAGACTGCGTCATTGAAATTCTTGGGGGGGGTTGCAAAATTTCAAATGGGGGGGGTGGCTTAAGTTAATTGCAACAGAGTTCAACGTGACGACAGTCAAAAATATATTACGAAGTCACCAGATAGAAAGTCGATTAATTATAATGACAATAGTTATATTATTGAATTAAATTAGTTAAAATATGATTTTAGGATAGTTTAGGAATCGTGCAGGAAGCTATTATTCAACATTAGCAAGACGTGAGGTCTAGAGGGAGGGCACGGAAAAAGATAACGCGTGGTGCAGACACGTCCAGCTACACCGCGACCACAGAATGCTTTGTTGACATAAAATTCGTTAAAATACAATCAAGTAGCATAGGCTACAATACTTTACACTATTGTTTAGATACTCGATTACCTAAGTTAATTAGGGGGGGAGGGGGTTAATGAAAATACGGTTAATCCAATATAGTATAAAACAGATGACAAACCCATTAAAACGCTGTAAACAGCCATTAACGTCACGATTTGCATTTTCATGAACGAAATTCAATATTTCACAATCATTATTATTGTGCAATAATGACATTTCAAATAATTTATGTTGGTTCAGTTGTACAAACGGCAACGTTTAAAATTATAGCTAACTCAAACTCAACTAAAATAACTAGCCAAACACTGCATTGCTATAAATAACGTAAATATTAAACCTTAGAAAGTGTTATAAGCTACTGCTCATGATAGACAGATAGGCTACTCATAGGTGCTGTATCACAACATAGGAATTGATAGTAAGTACTGTAAGTCATAAAAAAGTGTAAAATTATATTTAGAGATAATAAAAACACTTTAAAAAAAGAATGTAACGAAAACAATCTTGTTGTTCTTCTGTTCTTTATTCGGTTTCTCTTCAATTCATACACTACAGTAATTCAACAAGTCACCATATCTAGGCCTACTCATTGCCCAATCACAGCCTTAATAAAGTTACCATGGTTACTAATCACTCAATGACAGTTTCCTAAGCATTATATCGTCATCATTCCCCAGCTGTTGTATCTGAAATCTGTTGCAACATACAGCGCACAGCAGACAGAAGTGTAAAACGGAGCAGACGATTGTTGGCGCAAGCGTTGAAGTTGAAGTCATTTTTCCAATTCATTTTCATCAAAGGAGCTGTAATGTTTCAAAACGATTATGTGGGAGGGAGAGGGGGTCGTTATATCAAGATAAAGACGCTGACAAATCGTTAAGCAGAGGTTACAAACGCTATGTAGATATTCTGGCAATACTAAAAAATTCCTTTAATTGAGGTGACTTATAAAACTCTAATTTTATCCTATATAAAGATAAGTTTTCCAGTCCTGTACAACACTGACTCACGGTCTTTTCCCGGTAATCAAAATTCAAGTACAACTAGATACACACAGAATCTCCGGTTCCCGATCTGGATGATGGCTAGTTATTTAATTTAATTTACAGTTACATATTAGTACCCGTTATAAATCAAACCCGTTATGTAAGTCACACGGTTATTAATCTCTCTTGGTTTTGGATTTACTTACAAACGTGATCGGAAATGGTTAGGGCCTACACAGTATTCGTAAACAATATTTATGTAAACATATCAGTGACAGCTAGAAAAGGAATCTTTATCAAAACAGCTGTTCGTAATTTCATATATGACGTGTTCTCTTAACAGATTATTAGTATTTAATAAATTACTAATAGTAAACATGGAGAAAAAAACTTGAAAAAATCACACAAAATTGGGGTTTTGATCGTCTGTTAATTTTATTTCCAAAATAGGGAGGCCATATTTTAATGACTAAGGACTCCCTCGCCAATCCTCGGTAGCTGCGTAAAATGCCCTCTGGGCCGTTACTCACGGACATAAATTGAGATAAGACATGTTTCTACTTCTTTAATGTATAAAGCTTAAAAATAACCCAAAATATGTATAATTCTGAGCAACGTACAGACGAAACTATAACTTTATTTATATAGATTAACTGGGTTTGCATTTTCAATATCTAAAAAAATTAATAAAACTTCTTTTAGTTTTACAAATAATGCTGGGCGGGGGAATAATGTTTCTCATTTATGGTGGGGGGGGGCTGGTGCTCTATTGGGGGGGGGATGCGTCATGAGTCTAGGGGGGGATGGGCACCCCTGGCTAGAGATACGACTGGAGGGAGCACTGAATGAGAAAATTGGGAGATGTTGGCCAGTTTGTATATGGGGGTTCATTACGATATACTTTTGGTACATTTGAACCAGGGGATTGTGGGATTGAGCCAATGAGCTGATCTCCTAGTTGGTTAACCCTCACACACCACCTGAGTCCTAGTTGGTTTTGGACATCACAACATTTTACAGTGTCTCGATTTTCTAGCAGAGTTGCTGTGTCAGTGCTACTCCAGTTGTATTTCTAGCTCAAAGTTGATCAATAATTAATTGAAGTAACAATATTTATACCATTTTCCTAAAACCATTTCTCTACAGAACCTATGACTATTGACTAATAAAACAATAATTTTTCCTGCATGCAAATGTTATTTAAATACTCTACTTACTTTCCAAAAAATCTAACTAATTTTTATTTACAAAAACATAATGAAACAATGAAAAAAAATTGTGTAATTTTGGTTCGTTACCTCTGGTGCAAGAGGGACGTGTTCATCCTTAGCATGTTCACCAATATTTGGGGGTTTAATCTGCTTTACCTTATCAGACCTTACTTGATATACGCGTATAAACAACAACGCAAAACATTCAATACAATATAAAACATTTCATTTTAGGAACTACCCATTAAGAAATCCTAAAATCTAAATAAATCTTGGAATGTAATAGTTCACCGCCAAAATGCAGTGAAGTGACAGTGAGTAATCAAGTCTAGCTTGCTACTGTACCATTTTTATATCGAGCCCCAAAATGACGCTGAAGTATGTCGGGGCTTGGGTCATGAGAGTGAAGAGACCCCAGCCTCCGCCCCACTGGGCTACAATCACCATGTAGACTGGCACGGAGGTGGCAATCGACCCCCAGGGTATCCGGGTCTGAAACAAGCAATAAAGATTGTTGGTTAGAATTCCAGTGGCACAAAATTATAGTTGGATAAACGATGATGAATAAAAAACACTATCAATTTTTAAGATAAAATCTTGTCAAATCACTGAAATGCTGTGCTGGCGATTTGTTTTTGTTGTGGACAGTAATTTTCAAAGCACCTATTACACTATGCCAAGCTTATGGGACATCCGTGCGCTCGGGTATGTTGGGGTGGAAATGTACTAGTATCGAGCAAGGAAGAGCCCGAACGGCACTTGCTAAGGCTCGTAACTTACATTTTCTACTCATTTCGTTAACACTATCTTTACGCAATTGTTGCGTAATTTACTGTAAGATAACACGTAATCTTAAAATAACATGTTACTGGTCTTAAGGGTTGTACATTGTATAACACTAACACTCATTGCTTGCAAGACAAAGGAGTGTACCGGTAGTATATAGGCTTTACATGTACTTTCACCCCTTCGTCTTGCAAACAACGATCTGTAATGAACCAACTGTAGTCATCCTCTGCCACTTTTGTCATGTATCTTTTATCCACGGTTAAAAATTCAAAATAATAGTACAAAAATCACAATGCATAGGTACCTTCTTCTTGGCTAAGGTCTGGCCCAGGCTGTCCTGGATGTACTTGAGCTCTTCACTTGTGATCCACGGATGTTGCGAGGGTGAGTCATACACGAGCAACCACCACATGATGAACCACACCGTACCCAGCACTCCGGTCACGTAGAACACATAGTCCCAGGTCAGGTGGTTCAGGATAAACCCACAGAGAGGGTAAGTGATGGCCACACCTACCGAGCTGCCTGAAAATCAAGAATCATTAGTTCGGAAATTCGTTTGACATTAAATATATTACTAAGATATAGTAGACATCGTCAACACTTTGCGATGATATAGCTTCATATGCACCTAAATGTAGGTTACGTTAGATTACACCTAAATTTAGATCAACCCAAATTAATTGTTGTCAGATTGGTACTTTAATGGAGAAAAATGTTTTTTTTAAATAGTGATGAACAGATACTGATAATATATTTACCGAGATAAGCAGACACAAATTTGCTTCTCTCATTGGGAGGAATCCATTGGGCAGTGAGGTGGTGCATTGACGGCCAAGCCATCCCCTAGGAACATATGTACAGTAAAATTACACATTAAATTTAGATAAAGAAAACGTGTAATGTGATTCAGTAAAAAAAATCACATTTGTAAAGAAATAATAAGAGAACATAGGCCTTCTGGTATTTGAATCAGGCACTTTGACCATTTAATTCTAGAGACCCATAAATTATTAAGAACAGTGGTACCATCTCCTATCACAATCACAATGACTTAGTGGATAATGACTTGCCGAACGTTAAAATATACCGTAAACTTATCCAAAACAGTTTTTAATAGGTAACAATAAGCAGTCAGATTTTTTTATCTAAACTTTCAGACTTGAGAAAAAACCTTTGTGTATTATGAGGGACAGAAAAGAAGACAAAATGGATTGAAAATGTCGAGGCAGAGGCTGTTAGTGGATGCTGACGACAAATTTTCATCTTAAATGTAAATGTTTTGGGAGTAAATAAGAACTGTGTTATGATTTCCCTTTCCAAAATTTTAAATGAATTAGGGATTACAAGAAAGAGGTTGATTGGCACATGTTGGGATCTTGACATTGGAGCACTCTTAAATTTAGTTCCACCAATACAGCGTGTCAATGTACAGCGCTATTTAATTATTCCTCCACAGTATTTATTCAGTGACCTGAGCCACGTACCACAATGAGGCCTTGGATCACTCGGTTGGCTACAAGAAGTTTGTAGTCCCAATAGGCACAAGCGGGGATCAGCAAGTTGAGGAGGCAGCAGCTGAAGTTACTAAGGCCGAAGATGGCTTTGGTTCCGTACTTCCGAGCGAGCACTCCTCCGGGAATCTGAGTGACCCAATGGAACCAGAAGAAAGCCCCCAGGATCTTATTCTGGATGGTTTCATCCCACGGAAACCCTCGGTCTTCTTCCTGAAAACATTTCTGTTTTTAATTCGATATTCGTTTGGCAATCTGAAAACCTGATAAAGGCATTTTTACATGAATGTATGTACAGTACAATATCTCAGCAACAACAAGTCGTAGAGTTAACAAATAAGACTTTGACATCTTTGTCTGATTCTTGAGCTACTCACCAGAGATTGAAGACTGATGTTCCTTGATGTCAGGGTCGATACATTGAGATGTCTTTGTCTGATTCTTGAGGTACACACCTGTTTGAAGACTGATGTTCCGTTTATGTCAGGGTCAATGTGGTCAACGAATTGTGGATATTTATAGGCATGCACTGTGGATGCGATACTCCCTGGTGTGGATTAACATCCGCACGAGTGAGTACTACGACTATCCGCAGTACTATCCTGATAATTAGACCAATTCGTATATACCAAGGAAAAATGTGGTTCGGATAACACCCCCATACAGCTAATGGCAACTAAGGGACCTACAGTTTATACAGTAGTTTCCACATAGTGGAAACTATAAACTGTAGGTCCCTTAGTTGCAATTAGCTGTATGGGCTAATAATTAACAGCTGTGTATAACGAATGTCGGCCTTAGTCACTAACAAGACTACAAGATCGCGCCACTCATCCTACACTCATCTCCATTCAAACTTGGCTTAAAATACCTACTATGTATGGTCGCCATTTCATTGAACAGTATTAACAGTATAATGCACTAATAGTGATAACTTTGATTCTTGAGCAACTCACCTATTTGAAGTCTGATGTTGCGTTGATGTGGGGTCAGTGCTTTGTAATATCTTTATCTGATTCTTGAGGTACTCACCAGTTTGAAGACTGATGTTCCGTTGATATCGGGGTCGATACATTGTGATGTCTTTGTCTGATTCTTGAGGTACATCCAGCTGACCATCGACACCATAGCGATGTTGATGTTGATTCTCACCATGTAGTTGACGGCGAACCCCGCAAACACTATGTACCATAATACTGTCCGCGCTGCAACAATAGTATCACAAAATTAATAGACACAGACACTAATTTAATTTTTGCAAAACCAATACAACTTGTTATATTTTTTATTTTTTTACTAAGTTCAGACAATTAACCGTAGACAATGCTAATCTGTACTTTTTGAAAACATAAACTAAAATTTTTGTAGCAAGATAGTTTATTATACCGTACATTTTTTCGTACATCCATAGTGTAAACGGCGTTTTGTAAAAATATGCAAAAACAAAGGTGTCTTTGATTCTCAATCGATCTACCACAATACACATAATGTAGGGTTTGTGTGTTAGTAAAGCGATTTACTGGTCGCATGTCTAGGCTCTGTTTACGTCAGGATAACAGACAAACTAGGCAACTTTGATTACCGTACATCCTTCTGCCAGATTCTACCTTCAAATTCCTTAGACATTTCTGTATTACACAAGCAATTCTTGTAGCCGGTTAATCACCATATACTTAAGGATGTTAGGTTTAATGTTTCTGAGAAAATTCATAGTTTTGGATGTTGTGTAATATGGTTTTATGAAATTAAATGAATTAATATTTACAAACAAACACATTTTGACTTTAACGATCAGCTGGGTTGGGTTGATGATAAGCAGGAATGTCATATGATTAGATATTGAAATGACGGTGAGTCAACCAGCGTATTTCAAAGTCCGTCAAAATAATATTTCAATGTTTTAATATATTTTTTATCAGCCATGCAAAATTGTACCTAGTCTATAAATTTCTTAGTGAATTATTGTTTGTTTTACATGAGTCAAGATTACGGAAATATTTAACCAATAACGTAGGTAACGTTATTCTATTGCAGTAGGAAAATGTATTTATATAGCTTCAAAAATCGTAATTTAAAATCATTCCAATAATGGTTTTCTCTGAGCTAGCTTCTTCATGTGTTCCATGATTTTTAAGTGTTAGTGTTTACATGTTATCACAGAACCTGATTTTATTTCAGTGTCCTATGCTACAGAACTTCTAAGCATTAAATCATATAATTGAGCTACTAATTCACGGTGTTTTAGAACATCTACAGACTACAGTTTCACCGCAATTTGGCAACTAAGGTTCACAACAGACATTTTATATTAGGCCAACTAAATTATTATATTGTTAAGTTAAGATCCGCAGTAATACAGATATAGAAGGCTTCTCACTCCATTCTATACTTCTCATTGGGTAAAACGTTATGGTATATAGTCAATGGTAAAACACATCTAAGTTACGTCACCATCTTGACTGGTAATAATAATGATAATAATAACGTGGACGTTTTGTAATAATCATACATATCTCGTATGCACCAGCCAAAGCGAGCATTGAGTTTACTAAATTAAATTTTACCAAGTCCAGGAAACGTTCAGAATTAATTTTCCTCAAGGAGAGCCAAATACAAACAAAAGTGATATTGGTCGAGTCACTTTTGGAGCCTTGCCACAGTTAGGGGCGAGGTCAACGCATCATGTCCTTCTATTTCCGATTTTGTCTCTAAAAATACCTAAACTAGAATTGGAAATGAGTAAGCCAGACAAAGACTTCTGTTATCTGTCTATATTCAACCTGTTTATTATTCAGCTTAGAGAATGGACAGATCCATCAGTAAAACTAAAACCTATTTCTATATGGCACGATTTTTTTAAGATATTGTTTTTTTTCTACATTCACCTGACTAAGTGGGCTTCCTTGCATTTAAAGTACAGAAAGTTGCTAATTGCTGCATTTATTTACTTTTTCCGCACTCTTTTATTGTGCCGCACTCCAGTATTCCATCAAACGACAAAAAACATGCTTTTATTAGGCACGTAATACGTGTAGGCCTACGCTTGAAAATAAGTTTGTAACCCTGATACTATGACTACGACCAGCTGTTGCAGTATTTCCAATTTCGTTCAACGCTTGGATTTAACCAAACCAGGCTAAACCTAAAACGTGTTGTTTAGTGTTTTAAAGACTAACTATTTCTATGCTTTCCCGTATAATAATTGTAGGAAAAAAAATATTTGCAACACGAGTGTAAATCACCTTTGCTGCACTCGACAAATTGTCCACGCTCGCTTTCGTAAACATTTCTCTCATGTGCAGCAAAGTACCACTTCGCACACTAGTTACACAAAAAACAAATACACTTCGGCAGAAAGTACAGTCTAATAGTTTTTGAGACCTTAAGTTTTCATTTGAAGTAAAAATTAAGTATGCGCTACATTGCATAATTAATTGAATAAGTTTGAAACCGAAGATATTTTTGCACCTTCTTAGTGTTTCATTTGACACTGATTTAGTTGTTACAGTAACTTAAATATTGAGATAGTTTTCTATATTTAGTGACCTAATTCAAGGGTACGCAAACTTATCATACCACTTGTCATTGCATCAACACCTTTATGGATATAATCTAATCGTGCAAAGTCAATGGTTCTAAGATAAAACGCAAGGTATGTTGAAACGCTTGCGAATTTCGTAGAGAATGGTACAAGGAAGGCATGGTGGTATATAGGAGGGCAGATTACTTCTAAGGTGAAGACATTTTGGAAATTTGTATTGAGCAAAATTAATTAAGAATGTACAGAAATGAGTAAAGTCTGAACAAGGGTAAAATAAGAAAATGCAATACGTGTACTTTTTAATTTTCCAGAAGGGGAAAGGAGAACATACCCTGAAGTATGGTATTCCGATTAATATTATCTTTATTCTTTTATACTCTACCAACCAACACACATATTACAGATTCAAGAAGGCCCATAGAAATCAAATAAACATTAAAAGTTAACTAGAAGATTAAAAAAAAATATAGCGAAAAAGATGGCACCTTGTGTCTCGCCAATTATTATTTTTTGGGTTTCTTTTAATACTCTCTACGAACAGAAACATTTAGGCAAGTCCATACATCTGGATCATTTTAGGAATCATCTGATCTTGACAGTAATTGACAGGACTACCAACTGCTACTGTCAACAGAAGGCGTGGCTGAGAAACAGCTGACGTCGAGACGGATCGTTTCATCTCAAGGATTCATATCAATTGAACTACAGTCAATGAGTCATCCACAGATGTTGAGTTATGTAACATCATGGTAACATGAACATCACCGAGATAAGTGGAAATCATGCGTTACGGCGTTACGGGGTTTGTATGTGGAATACAGGAGTAAACTGTGGTATGAATCTGTGACTATTGTAGAGGTTACATATTGTTTCTTTGGTTAGTTTCAGAGAGATTTGTTGCTTCATTTTAGAATCTAAGGTCGTATAATCGTAAAATACACACATATGATAGTTTTTATGATAACAACGGTTCTATGGTGAAAGAATTTGTCATTTCCGTTTGGCTAGGCAAAGAATTGGATTATTCGGCAGAAATCATTAATTCATGTCAGCACACTCTGCCGCAACTCATTGAACACTGTACGTTCATTTTTGTTCTAAAAGTGGATACAAAAGATTGGAATTGGATGCACAGCTTTGTACATAATCAATGAAGAAACAATTTTCCTACAGTTAACTGACAAAGCGGGGTTTCTTGTATTGATAATAGCACCCAAAGTGAAAGTATAGTCTATGGTTGAACGAAATGGGAAACGCTGCACCAGCTGATCGTAGTCGAAGTATCTGTGTCGCCAACTTATTTTCAAGCGTATATATATATTAATTACGAGAGCCGATTCTTTGAGTCAAAATTGTGGGCAACTGGGGAGAGGTATCAAATTAAAGTTGTCGATCCCGTGACGAAAGGAAAAATAGTGAAATACCCAAAATGTTAACACACACTTAGATATAAAATAACGTAAAATGTTCTCAATAAGAATAGCATTAGAAGCCATTTTTCTGCTGATTTTTTTTTACTTCAATACAGCTGATCGTGATTTATCATTATAAGCCAGTAAGCAATATTACATTTGGATTACTCATTTGCCAGTCAATTCTGCAATGTACTCTGCACTATATAAACAAGCGATAACTTTATCCATAATAATTCAGACTTTTTAGTTACGTATTAGATAGTTGAAATCAATTGGTTTACTGTTCAATTTGCAAACCTGTGTATTTTTAAGTAAAATAGTTAAGCGTATAATAAGTAGTAGAATCATAGGAGATGGCTCAAATCAAAGGAATTGGACTAATAAAAACAACAAAATTAGTGCGGCAAAAGTATGTAAATGCAGCAAATAATACTTTAATTAGACACTTTGCGTCCTATAACCAGTGCAAGGAAACCAACTTTGCCAGGTAACTGTAGGGAAAAACAATTATATATGTCTAAAATATTTGTCTAATATTTTATATATACTGTAACTGTAGTATGTACACTGCCACGAAGTCCTGTCTCTGTCCTGATGTTTCACTAATGTTTTGATACAATTTACCAACGACAGTAATTTAGTGCTAAGTCATTCGCCATTGACATACATTGTGATATAAATGTTTCCCTCGTGTAGTGACACAGTTATCAATGGAATACTATCTTGTGAGAGTCACGGGTCAACGGTCAACCGCACGATTGCACTACGTCCAGCACATTTTGTTTGTCGCAACCCAAATTGAGAATCCACAGTGGCACTTAAATGCAATCTTACGTGTGGTAGGTAGTCTTAATTCGTGTTAAACGTTACATGCTACGATCCGAACTGTGCACGGTAACTCGTTAGCATGCTAAAATTAAAATAACCATACATACATTGTTGGCTGGAAACTGACTGACCGCACTATCGCTGCGACTGATGTCATCGCTATTCGAGTGTAGCTGAAAATATTTTAGGTTTAGCTCAAATATTGAACATACATATTTTATTTTGATATGTTCGTTCATGACCACCTCCTACACAAATGGCTCGCAAAAATGTACTTTTTGGCTTGAACGGGCGAATAACGTTTTGTTTATTGGTGTGGACAAGGTTTAGTCTGGACATTTGCGGTATCAAATCAGCTGATCTTATGATAAGTTTATATTGATTGTAAATAGTTATTTGTGTAACTAGTGTGCGAAGAGGC